TCTCAGTCATATGTGTATCAAAGTAGTATGTCAGATTTACCGTGTAGCTGTTAATCTTACAACTTCTGCTGCAGACTGTTAGTTTGAGTTCTCTGAACATGTCACAAAACAAACCCATTCAGAGCTGTGTAGCAGCTTTCAGAGGTAAAGAACCCTACATTATGCACTGGGAAGAAGTGAGTGAACAAAACACATAGTTGACACATTATGTGCACAGTCAACTCACATTCAAATGATGGACGGTACATTAGTCACCAGTCTATTTTGAAAATGATCTATGCTCCTTGAATTTCACTTGAACTAGTAAGTACTAGAGGAATGCCTTATTCAAATTCAGTACATGCATTTTCACAGTAATAAACTAATTGTTATTACCTGTACATTATGAGCAGGGTTTATGATACTGAAGTCAACATAAAATTAACTCAAACTGAGGGACAGACAAAACTTCAGTATTAATTCTTTGCTGAAGACTACAGAACAAATCTGAAGTTGCCAGTTGCTAAATCAAATGATTACAATGTTCCCTGACACAGACTAAGCAGAGAGAAAAGAAATTCTACAGCTATTCCCTGAAATTGTTCAAGTCAAATACAACTGTATTTCAAAGTTAACCTATAGGCATCAAAACGAGATAGCTTCTAAAGGGAGGGCAACTGTAATCCAACAGTTACTGATGGTCAATAAACAGAAAACCTAACAATCGCATTGCAGTGCAAATGCTTCTCAAACTGGAATGCAATTAAACCACTTGTATTGACATTTAAATGGACATAAACACAAGCCAAAGAAGGTAAATGTAAATGTTTGTGCTGATTAACCTTTTATCAGCTATTATCTTTTTCTTTCCCAATTTTCTTGTATGCAGTAAAGTCTTCCCATATTAATATTGAAATCTGATACTGAATCTGTCATTCTATCAATATGCAAATGAAAAGAGAAAGACATGAAAGATGTAAAGTTTGAACTCAGTATGGATTTAGCTGCTTCACTGTAAATTACTTTTTAGCCAAGCCTTCCTATCCATGATTCCTTCACCACAGCCAACATATTTCATCATAATCTCACAAGAATGAGCCAATAAAGGTCATGAGTCCAGAAAGACAACAGAAAGTTTGATAAGAGGTTCTAAAGATGCACATACAATATGGAAATACTAGCTCAGGACCTGAAAACTGGTCTACCTTGACAATACTACTTCCAGTTCAGGACATAAGTGTCTACACCACAGCCAACTGAGCACTGCCTAACGGAAGTATGTTCATATTTACCTCAGGTATCAGCTGTAGTAAGCTCATAATAAAAAACAAGAGTTTTGATGAAACAGAATTTCTTTAAATAACCATCTTGTATTGGTTCCTAACAGTACCTCACCATGTGGTTTCTCATTATTTTCAATGACATATAAAATGCAAGCTAGAACAGCACTAGAAATCAGTAGAAAAGTATAGATGATTAAAAGTCAGACACATGAACAGAAAAGCCTTAGGAAAAAAACAAATAAACACAGATCCTATGTGAAATCAAGAGCTCACAGTTATAATCTGAACACTAGAACCCGCATGGTACCACTGCATAGCAGTGTATGCTCATTTTGAGAGATAAAAATGTTAGCACTGCATAATTTTAAACAGTAAAGCCAAATTTGTCCCTTCATTTTTATTTTTAAATTGTTCAAAAGACGAAGATTTGTGGTGCATAAAGCCCATTTTGAATAGGCTGCTTAATTACTTCTGTAAGTCTAATATATCAGCTGTCTCGGGATCTGGACAGCAGCCAAGTATCCCAAGTTCAACACATACAGTAGCTCTATCTGTTCTTTATCCTAACACAGAAGGACTAAAGCTATTACAACCTGAAGTTATCTTTCATAAAGTTTACTTTGGGCTTGTTCAGCCTGGAGAAAGAAGCCTTTGGGGAGACCTTAGAGCAGCCTGCCAGTGCCTAAAGGTGGCTGACAAGAATGCTAGAGAGGGACTTTTTACAAGGGCATGTGGGGATAGGACACAGGAGAATGGTTTTAAACTGAGGGTAGATTTAGATTAAATATTTAGAATAAGTTCCTTACTGTTAGGGTGGTGAGGCACTGGAATGGGTTGCCCAAGGAAGTGGTAAATGCTCCATCCCTGGCAGTGTTCAGGGCCGGGTTGGACAAAGCCTTGGTTTGATGTGGTCTACTGAAAAGTGTCCCTGTACATGAGAGTGGGGGGTGGAACTGGATGATCCTTAAGGTCCTTTCCAACCCAAACCATTTTATGATTCTATGACAAAAACTCTCCCCCACCTATTAAAGCTATTAAAAGAGCAGATCAGTAGTTCAAGACATTGTGGACTGAGAAGTACTCAGTGGGTTTTTTTGTTGTTGTTTTTTTTTTAACCACACTTCAATAGCCTGATGTGAAAAGTTCAGGACAGCTGGTTATTTTTTTGGCAGTATATTCATAAATACAGCAAGTTGTTATTCTGTTTCTCCTTAAACAGAAAGGAGAGATACCACATGAAATCAGTAATGATATCACACAGGTACTGGCACTTTTCTCTATCAAATGTCTTTACAGGAGAAGCTGTAAAGTGGTAAAACTTGAATTTTACAAAAGCTTAATTTTAAACATGCCCATGCTGAGATGATTTCCAATAGCTCAGTGAATAGAGAGGCATTTAGTGTCAAGTGAAGCTGGAACAGCTTGCTAGGATCTTTGGAAACTAAGTAGAACAGCAGAAGTTTATATAAAGGCATAATTTCTTTATGCATACTTTAAGAAAGAAATAATCACCCAATCACTCAGTTTCTTTCTGTTCACTTTCTCACAAGAATAAGTGGTAAAAATATTCCTGAAAGGTGAATTTGGGACTCCCGTACCTTAAATACTTGTCAAAAGCAAACTTACAATTACATTATCTATTCAGAAAAAATCCTTTTATAGCATAAAGATGATAAAGGATTCCTGTAATTAACCATTACAGTTTTAAATGTTAATGCCAAAATGTTAAATATCCATATGGCATCGGCTGTTAGCTTTTCACATATGAGAAAATATTTGCAAACCACTGTAATGAAGAATTACAGATTTATATATTATTTCACCAAACAGTAGTGTTTCAGGTATTAGTGTAGTGGGTTAAAACTTAAACAGGGGAGATGCAGGTTAAGTATAAGGAAAATGTTCTTTACTGCGAGGGTGGTGAGGCACTGGAACAGGTTGCCCAAGGAATTTGTGAATGCTGCATCCCTGGCAGTGATCAAGGCCAGGTTGGACAGAGCCTTGGGTGACATGGTTTACTGTGAGGTGTCCCTGCCCATGGCAGATGGGTTGGAACTTGGTGATCATAAGGTCCTTTCCAGCGCAAACCATTCTATGATTCTATGACCATGTATTCATTCTAACTAATCTGCCCGTCATGACTTGAAGGTGATCTATTGGTCCCATATATGTAAAGAAGAAAAGCTTTACTGTACATGAGCACAGTTACAAAGCTATTTGCATCACTGATTAAAAAAAAAAAAAAAATCAAACCAAAACCACACAAAACCAACCAACTAAAACTGTCTGCTGCCCTAGAAATTTACATCAATATGCTCTTACTGTAGCTTAATTACATACTCACTATTAGTTGCCACCTCTAAATAGTGTGACTTGTACACTTGTACAAAATTTAATTTGTAACTATTCAGAAAGACCAGCTGGAGAAAAAAAATAAAAATACCATTTCTTTACAAAATCTTGGCAAATCAGTATACTCCTTTGAAAATGTTTACTACTATCCATTATCTGATCCCAAAGGACAAACCTAGAAAAACCCTTATTAAGTTTTCAACCCTATTCTATTATAAATATTTAGCATCATGGGAATCCTCAGAACTCTGCTCCCTATTTTGCTCTGAAGATACCACCTAAAGGGACTCTTTAAGTGTATTGAATAATGAAATACTGACATGTTTTCTTAAGCAGTAAAGAAATTGTATTTTTTTCATCAATTCATATTTGTCTTGATTTGTACATTGGTTGTCACACTCTGCACAATCTGTTTTGATCTATATATTGCAGACAAATAGGGAAGGATGAAATTCTAAACTGTTGTTTGCATGAGAAAATAACTTATCTTGCAAATCTGCACTATCAAAAAAACATTCATTTTAAAGACCTGGCAAGTGTATAATTAGCTGTTACAGTATTACAGGGTTTGAGCAATAAACTACTCTAACACATGGCAAGCCAAAACCCTAAGAAGCAACACTTAATATTGAAGGAGGCCAAGTAAACAGCATCTTTTATAAAATATATTTAAAAAAAAAAATTCCATCAACGGTTATGTAATAGATGGGCTAGGTATTATCATTTCAATTATCATTTCAGCTGCAGTTCACACCAGTAACAAGGTTGTTCTAGACATATAAAACCTGTTTTTATTCCTCTCCAATTCTTCTCCCTAATCAATCCATAGGCAAAGACTGAATACATAATATTCACTATGGCAAGCAGAGACCAAACTTTTCAAGCTTACATACCTCACCCTGGACAACTATATCCATTTCTTGTCACCAGAATTAAGAACTGTATTTCCAGTGAATTGGGCTCTTGTGTATCACTCCACCAGAATCAGAGAATTTAAGCTATTTCACTGCAGTGGCTTTCTCTCTGGTATCCAGGAAATTGCCTACTAATTTCTAGTTTCGGAACAATGTTTTTCATACCATAGACCATGTAGCCAGAAATAAATCAACCTGAGTCACATGCAGTCTTATAGGAAAGCTAAAAAAAGAGCTAATAAAGAAAGTTATATCAAATCACTTGCTTTGACTAGCAAATATACGAAGTCTGCTCATAAAAAACTAGCACAGAGATAGTCATCAGGTTACAATTCTACATTGCACGATAGCCACTGTAAACTGATGAGACAGATTTTATGTATGGTATCAACCACTCACTCCCAGGGCTTTGCAGTTACGTTTATGAAAGATTAACAGCAGGCACTAATACAAGTATCATGACTCTTTTCAGGCAGTAGGTGAAACCTTGAAGAAAAAGTGGCTCTGTCTTCACAAAAGTGACCTGACCTTTGCTTTGGTGGGTTTTTACTCTGCAAGAAATAAAAAGCACTGCATGCTTTCCAATGCATCCTTTCTAGCTGATAAACTATTTTGTTCTAGCACTCAGCACAAAAGGACTACATTTTCTAAAGATCAAATAGCATGTTATTAGTACTAGCTAAGGATAGCTCCATGCGTCATACTAGAAACAAACTTCATAGACCTGGAATGTCACATGAATCACGAACAAAGAAAATATGTAATTGGCCAAGAATCTTTGATATGGTTACCAATTAGAAGTAATTCCCATTGAATTAAATATATTTAATTTTACAGTGACTCTGCAGTTCTTTGGATATCAAAGGCATCACAAATCCAGCATGCTTATCTTTTATGACACTTCTGCTCTGAAAATTTCTTGCAGCATGCAAAGAACTCTGTAGGGTAACTGTGATGTGTTGCACAAGCAAGCTAACTTAAGATTAACTTGATTATTAATAAAATTTCCTCAAAACCCACAATAGTATGTAATGGTTTTACCTGCAACTGATTAAATGTTTCTGAAACAACCTGTAGTTCAGTGCAAGCAATAGGGGATACTTCCACTGGACACAGAATACCATGACAGTGAAAGTAGTTCTAGTATATGATGTGGTAGCAAAGAACCCCTTCTGTTAATGGACTTATAAAGTATTTAAATATATAAAGTTTAGTGGAAAATGTTGCTTTTATGGAGCCAGATCCTGCAGTCTTCGCACAGCTAAAACTTCCGTGGAAATTAATGTGAGCTTATATAGTATAATAGTTAAGGACATGCCCAGGGTCAGTAACATAATACAGTTCTGCTGCTATGCTTTTTGTGCATGCTCAGACTATCTCTGTCACTTGCAAGAGCTCAAAATACAGAAATTTCAGTGAAATCAATAAGATAAATACCCTTTTTATATAAAAATTATAGCTTCAAAGGGAGCATGGCACAATGTTACTGCATTTTTCTTTGGCTAAAATATTAAATAATGTTGAAATATTTTGTCTTGAATATTTACAATGTATTAAGTGAATTTGAAGTGAAGTTTAAAAAAAATAATTAAAAAAAATCCTTACATTAAGTTCAACACCATTGACCATTTTGGGGAGAACTGTGACAATGGCTATGATGGCAGAATTTGGCTCCATATGTTGATAGCAAAAATAAACCCCAGACTGTTTATATGATGTAAATTACTTTTTAAGATGTTACTAGAGCTATAACCTCTGCAGGCCCAGATTTATACATTTGAGGTTCATGGAGAGTTTGCCTCAGTGAACTACAAGGAACTGTGCTTTATTTGCAAATTCAGCTCAATGCTGGTTTTCACAGAAAAATAAAAAAACTAAATAAATAAAAACCAAACAAACCCAGGTATTTCAGATATAAACGCTTGGGTAACTAAAATTACCTCAGGTAACTGATACTGGTATGGATCTCATATGGAGACCATACCCTGTAGGAGTTTCAAACCCTTGGGCTGGCACTGGAGTATTTCCAGCAGGTCTAGCCCCAGCATGGCACTGCTGTTCCTAGCGACTTCACTGGGGCAACTCTGACACAGCCACAAGACCATGGCTAGGCCCCTCCCACGCTGTTAACTGCCAGGTTCACGGATGATTTATCACTGTTACCATTTCCGAAGGGTGTTTATGTGTTCTACTTTCAACCACGCTCTAGTTCCAGCCGCCTGGTGGGTTCTGGGGTGCGTTGGGACGCGATGGTTGCCCGGCTCGCTGCTGACTCGCGCCATTGTTGATTTCGCTGTTGTAGGGGAAAGGCGCTAGGGCGGCAGATAAGGCTGTTGCCATGGTGATGAAGGAGATTCCGAGGGAGGAGTCTGCAGAGGAAAAGCCCCTCCTTACTATGGCATCACAGGTGGGCGGACCGCGGGGCCACGAGCAGGCCGGGGCACGGCGGGCGGCCGGGCCCGGCGAACGGGGGAGGCTGAAGCGCCGTGGGAGGCACGGCTAGGGGGAACCTCACCTGCTCCTCGGCTTCCCCGTGCCTAATGGCAGGTGCAGCAGGCCGGGCTGAAAGCCCTGCCCCAGGAGCTCGCAACAGCGGCACCACGTTTCGTCACCACCGCGGGGGAAATAGCGTGGGGTAGACGGTGCAGTCACTTGGGGGTTAGTTGTTTCTACTTGAAAATTTAAACTGAAATGCATTTTTCCCCCCAAATAAAGGGGTCTGTTAAAAGTACAGTGTATGTCACTCACCAGAAGGTCGTTTGCAACCAGTTTAAAATTTCAGTTACAATTCATGCCATCAATACACCACAAATACTTGCAGTGCAAATATAATACTCAATGCATATATAAAATAAAAAACAACCACTTCAACAGTAGTGTCATTTTCAGTATCCCAGGGCCCATCCCTAAGCTCTCACTGCAATTCCATTCCTGGTCCAGGGCAGATGTTAATTTTGCACACCTCACTGCTTTCATTCCCACAACTCAAAAAAAGGCTGTAATGTCACAATACCAGACCTTGCACCAGGGAGCAGCCATTGAACCTTACATGGTTTCATTGGTTTCTTGAAGACCATGACTGAACACCACCATAAAACACACCACTTCCATCTTACTACAAAAATGAATTTTATTTCCTTCCATCACTCACATACATTAATTTGTTCCCCAAGCAAATGCCTTTAGTTCACCATCAATACTTAGTGCACACAAGGTGTTCCTACTCATCAGGACATTTAATGGTAGTAATGTGAACACATAATTGTTTTTATGTGAGAGTCTTCAACAAAATCCACAATCCTATTTTATTCCTTTCATGGTTTAGGACTACAACTATCATGTACTTCTCTTATGGAGCATCACAGATGCCCAGCACTAATATTACACATACATATTATTTCTAATATTACACACACATTATAGAAATATCATCTACTCCTTCGGAAATCATGCCTGGCAATCTCCTTATCAGCACCTGTTGGAGACCATACTTTGCTTGTGGTGAACTCTAATGCCTACAAAGCAATTGCACAAAGGAAAAGGACACCCCCTTTGAGGCACTGTTTCTAATTTTCTACTAAGTGATTAACAAACAATTAGAAACCAACAGAAAACACTGCCCCTTCTACCCCACACTCCCCCTCAAAAAAAAGTGCAAAATTTCCATTCCTTCAACAGGGACAGGAGTTCAGCCTGGGTTCATTAAATGTTTAATGCGCTATTTGTGGTCTTTGTCTGTCAGTCTACTCAGCAACAGTCTTATGATAAACTGATGAGTAAAATGCTTGTATCTGTTAGTCAGTGTAATTTCTTCCACTAAACACAAATACCTACTTCCCTGCTATGCACCAAAGGGGTGCAGAAGCCAAAAGGAAGCAGAATCAAGTGAAAAAGTGAGTATTTCCCATAGCCATCTCTGCATCATGTATGTGTGATGTGCAGTTGTACTATCATATTGCATACATCATTCATATCTTAGTTGCCTGGCTGTAACGTTTTGAGATGCTGTCTCTTCAGTGTATCAGTGTAAACCTCTCTCTGAGACCATTCATTCAGGACAATGCACTGCTATCTTGTGATACACATTTAACCATTACCATCAAAGTGTTTGTCTGCTCTTTACATGATGAAACAGATGGATGTGGTTGCTGCTCACAGGGTAAAACATGCAGGCTCCAAATTGGCTGCAAAACTCCCAAGCCAGACTAAATTGGAACATGAGAGTAGGGCCCAGTCTTTCCAAAGTTACCACCAAACCATTATGGGTATGTCTTAGGAAGTAATTGTTTACATTCGGTATTTATGTTGCTCCACCGCTAGTTAACTAAGCAAGAAAACTGCAAGTAAAATGGAGGGATCGAGCCCTGATAGAGGAGCACTGGCTATCCTAAAAAGAAAAATAAGTCAAAAAAAAAAAACCAAAACAAAACAAAAAACAACCTGAAATCTCTCATTTCCAAAATCCTTGATGAATAGGTTAACCATGTCTGATCAGAAGCACACTCCACAGGAAGCGTAAGTGTAACACAACAGACACACTATATCCTCATTTTGAGAGTAACAGTGTACTGAGACCCCTGAATTTATATTTTGAGAGATGCTTCTTTGCTCTGTTCCTCTGGAAAATGTTAAAAACATATCTAACATAGAGCAAGCCAGAGAAAGATTCACATTTTATTGTTATGCTCCAAGCAAAGTCCTGCCTGTAAAATACATCCCTTAATTGTTGACATAAATACTGTGAATTAAATTCTAATAAAGCTTTTAACTCACAGGTTATTTTATATCATCAGGTATTATCTTGTATCATCAGATCTGGAAAGAAATCTTCAAGTAACATGAACCAACTAAGTAATGCAGGCTGTGGTGTGGCTACACCAATATGTGGCAACTGGGAATCTAGACCATCATTCCACCAGTAATGAGTATACTACAATAAGTAGAGGGGTATTCTTGGTAATTGAACAGGCTGTTCACCATCTATTTTTGTGATTTTGTCTCTATTACATTCAATGAAAGTCACTTTATTGGTGTGAGAAAGCATTCAGTAGCTGCCAAATTTAATACTTGAGGATCCACAGAGTGAGCTTTCGGTACTAATGGGATTTTTGTAGAACATAACTCTGTATCTTATTGCTGTCTCTATCTTTCTGAAGAGAATTTAGAAGAGACTGGAACAAAGGAAAAAGGATATTTTTTTATATGAATAGAACCTAGAAAAAAAAGGAAAGAAAGACTGCTGAAGGTTCAAAGATCAACTGGAAGTTCAGCAATGAACCGGTATACATCTGAAGCAGATAAATGAATGACAAAAAGAGTGCATAAAAGTTTGATTTAAATTCCAGAATAAAATTTTTGTTTAACGTCTTTGGACATTCTTTGCATTTCTCAAGAGAAAAAAGCCCTTACTTCAGAATTACTTTCTAATGGGAAATTTAAACCTAAATATCCGCTGGAGTCTATGTTTAATTGTACAGTCAGCTATGGAATACCCAATACACTACAGGTCAGACAACTTCAAAGGTTCTGAATCAATAAAGTACTTCGATCCATGTTTATACTTTAAAATATAATTAACTACTTCACTGAGCAGTAAAAATAGCACATGTTTACATGCCTTGCCAGTCTGATTTTAAACAAACAAATCTCAGTTTCACTAGCGTTATTTGTCACAGCTTCATCACACATAGTTTAAACCGTCCAATTTATGGAGTACATAAATTGGAAAACTAGCAATGGTAGGATCCCTATAATGATAATAGAAAGAAAGAAAGAAGATCTGCAGGAGGTGATTCATGTCCAAGATGATCCGGTGGCAAATCCATTTCTATTCCATATAATATCAGAGTGCAAGTCCATGAAAAAACTACCAGTAGGGAAAAGAAATGCAAAGTGTGTATATATATAGAAAGCTATCCCCACTCCTGTTTGTAACTGAAAAACTATGGAGCTGCCTACTAAGAATTTATATGAACATTTAAATCAACTACATTTAAATCAACTACTAAATCAGATATTACTCAGAGTACAATTTTGATATTGACCGCTTATGTTTAAAAAAAAAAATTACAGGACATTTAGGTTCAGAATTTGAACTGGAAAGAAGAAATTTTTTAAAAAGTTGAAATTACATTTTAAGAAAGTGGCTGAAATTCATCCTATCCCATGACAAATGCAGGTTATACCACATCAGCTTAAACCACATCCGAGTTAACTCCACTATATAAGTAAGGTGTTTTTTTATAGTCTCTCTGTAAGATTCTGTTTAGTATTCAGAATAGGAACGATTTCTTATTTTTTTTTTCAAGTGATCTTCATTTGCGTGCCATTAGTTGATCCAAGCATATTTAAGTTTGCTCAAGGGCTTTTGAGTGAAATACTCTAGCATTTCCACTGCTTTGGCTTTCCAAGGCTTTCTGTTGTTGTTGGTTTTGGTTTGGGGTTTGTTTGGGGTTTTTTTTGGTTGGTGGTTATGGATATTTTCTTGGTCAGTTGTGGATTTTATTTTGTTCTGGGGTTTGGTTGGCTGCTTTATTGGGGGGGGGGGGGGACACGACAAAACCAAAAAGCCTCTGGTAGGAGACTTTCCAATTTCTTCTGTTCAATTTTATAAAGTAATTAGAGTAAAGATAGATAATATTTATTTCCCAGTGGTGTTTGTAGATTTTCTGGTGTGTGTATCAAGGACTCGCGTAGTAACTTGATTGTATAATCAGTTTTTCCTATAAAAGTTAACAGTTCCATTTGAATCTGTCATGTTCATTCTAAGCTTCTACACATTAAGACTTGCATTGACTTACTCCATAAATGTTGCTAAACATTGTACCACAATGGTGGAAAGTTAAAATGAATAAAATTAGCTTCTTTTATACTAATCTAAACCAGAATTAACTCCACTTTAACTAAGAGATAAACATTAACATAAAAAAAGGCAAAAGTCATGTCAGTTTTAGATAGTGACAATCATTAAATTCAAACTACAGTAAATCATTGTACACTGCAGTCTGACCTCCAAGTGGCAATTTTCCTTACTCATGTTAGGAGGGCTAGACTTGATATCTGATACCATATTTTTATATTTTTAAAGGATTCTTTTTTTAAAGGATTCATGATAAATTCATTAGTATTTTCCATGCATCTCAAATCCATCTCATAAAGTTTTAAATAGTTTAGCAGAGGACACTTCTTAAGTCCTTCTAACTTTTTCATCTGTTACTAAAACATGATAAATTCAGGAAGAGTAAAAAAAAAAAATACAAAATGCATAAATGAATGCTTAGCAGTACAACTAATTAATTCTTTATCTCCAAGTTAAATTTTGCTCAACACCATTATTGCTTTTAGGGGGGCAGTATGCATAGTTTCAGCAGAAGTAGCCTCGCTAGTATAATAAAGTTGCCTTGACAATATGCTTAATAGCTACAAATTGGCTTGCCTAAAGTTACACAGATTTCTGTTGCATAAATACATTTTTCCATGAAATAACAGATTCAATTTGAAATTACGGTGGGAATTGATAGTGTAATTTTTTCATAAAATAAAAAAATGTTTCATACATTCTAAAGTAATTTACCATTCTGTAAAGACACAGATTTGGACAAACATTTTTTGTAAATAGTATACCAGTTTAACCCCAGTTTTAGTTTGATTTATTGGTAGGAAGCAATTTTCAGAAATCTGTTGTTCTTCATTCACAAATACTCCAAGTAAAAATACACTATCCTGTTAAAAGAGCTGCAAGCCTATACTACCATTGGTTTATATTCAATGAACTCATTGCTTGTACACTGAAACAGTTCTACTGAATTGCAAGTCCAAAAAAATTCACAAGCAGCTTTTGAATATCAGGCTCTTCAATCTGCAGATAATATTTCAAAGTAACCACACATACCACGACAGACTCCAACAGAAAGACTGTATAACCTACAAGAAATTATGACTGCCCACAGTAACATACCCAAAACCACAGCCTTATTCTAGGTGTGATACAGAACTCTGGTTTAAAAGAATATTCCACAGAAAGCACAAAAAAATCCATGCTATTTCAAAAGATTTGCAGCCTATATACAAAGACACAGCAAGGGTGCAGGAAAGACAGATTGCATGGGAAATGAACAAAGGGTATTTTTAACACAGCTGAATATTGGTAGTAGTGACATAAGCTTTACAAAAAATTAAATGTTGTGAGAAGCCATGTTATTTATGACATTGTTATTTCCCTCATCTTCATCTTTATAATCTTTATGCTGCAAACATGAGGGACTGGCCTTAAGAAAAGCAGCAGTTGTGCATATTTCATTTGATTATGTACCTAGCTGCATACAATCCGTTCCCGCTGAAACTCTTGAACTTATCTATGGAACACTGGTGGTTCAAAAAGAAATTGCACCTGCAGCTCAGTTCTGTATGCTGTCAGTCTACTTTCAGCTAATGAACAACATTAAGTCATTCTCCAGTATTTTGTAAGCAATCATCGTAGTTGCCCCCAGAGACGCTGCAAGACAACATATGCATTACCTGCACTGTGAGTGAAACAGCACTCTTCTAGTTTCTGTCCTCTGCATCTTATCTGAAATCATCTGAGAACCGTGGTTCTCAAAGTCAGACTTCCTCTTCAGCTGGAGTTGCCACACAAAGTAATTTCAGTGAATGATACAGAAACCAGAATCTAGCATCACAAGTTATCATGTTTCCTGTAGATACTATCATGATACTTATGCCTCCTTCCACAGTACAGGTTTCTTCAGGGCTTTCTCAACAGATAACTTTTCATTCTGTAGCCTTCCTGTTCTACTATTCCAACCTGCATTTATTTAGTTTACATGTCAAATCTGTTAATCCCTCAGTTAACTAGCAGGCCATTTTAGGAGTACAGATTAGGTATGTCGTGGGTTAAACCACGACATACTTCCATAAACTAACATTAGAGAAATAATTTTTAAAGAAATGCTTTATGACTTCTTGGTGACTATATTCAAGGATTTCTAAGCATTTGGTATGAATTAATTCTTAATTTTGTATTTTATCACCATTCTAGAATAGTTCTTTGGTTCAGATAGTGATACAAGGAAGGAGAGAGGCTAAACCACAAATCACAAGTTAACACCACAAAGACAATTCATAGCCAAGTGAGGGAGGGAAAACGAACAAAATCATCTAACACCCAGGAAGTGAAGGCACTCCATTTTAATAAACAGCTTCCTTTACTTAAAAAGTGCATAGAGCATGCAGATATTAATGCAAAAGACTTAACCACATTTTTATGAGCATAGCAAAGACCAGATTATCAGTCACAGTTGAAATATGACAGGAGTAGCTGTCCTACCCTTCTCCCATGGCTCTGATCCAGCAAAACAGGCTCATGCTTAACCTTGAGTTTTGCAGAACACTCTTAAGTGATTTGCTGGAGCAAGGCCAAAATGCAAGAGCCAGGTACAACTCCCATGTTTACTTTCCTTTAGCCAGACCAAGGGGAACAGAGGGAAAGAAATGGTGAACTGCAAGATGTTTCATTTTACATTGCAACAATACAACATAACTCTCATAGATCAGCACACATAAACACAGATAGAATGCTACTGTGACTGTAATCACAGCAAAAATTTTCACCAAGCAATGCAACTGCTATTTATGAAGATGCAACACAAGCATGTTATCAATTACCAATTCAGACATCAAGCACAGGTTTTAAACAACACAGCTAGCACATCAGTTTAAATATCCAATACTGTATGTATAGTAATCTTCCCACAGCTTCTCCGACTTTCACACAAGCCCTCTGTCACTTGTTTGCATTAAGCCCCACAGAGGTCACTTGGCTTGTGTGATTTCAGGTGAGATACTGTCACTTCTGATTCACAGGCCACTCTACACACTTCCTACTACATAGCAACAGGGTGCCAGTTACTTCCTGCTGAGTGACACTAATCTTCAGAGAGGCAGCAACACCAAAGTGCTCTTTGCAGGAGGGTGAAATGAGTTCCCCTCAGCTTTAGAGCTTCCTGCAATTCACATTAGGTGGAAGTCAGTTATTCTGTGTGCCATGTGAATGGATTCTCCATTCTTGTGTAAACCAAATATTTTGCTGGCATATCAGTTTTGCTGGGACATAAATTCACACTAGAGTGACAGAGAAATAGTTACTATCACCCTGCCACAAGGATGATAGAAAAAGTCAAGTAGCGATCGCGCTTACTATACAATGGTAAATAAAGTGCATGAGGTTTTAATTTCGATTCTAAAGTGTTTATAAACATTCTAGAAAAGTGGGCGACTCATGAAACTGACTTCTAGCATGAGAGAGTGATTCTGTCAGGAGTTTCCTTTCCAAACATTCCTCAGTGAGCAGTCTTGCAGTTCTTACCCTGCCACAATAACGACGTGCAAACATAACTGTCAGGGCAGTACTTCCAGTTAAGCTCTAAAGAACAATAACCTCAATTTCTAGTTGTGATTCACATTTATCAGTTTTTCAAAATAGCCAATTAGCGGAAATTAATTCCCCTGTTTCCTCTTATTGTAGTGAGTGCCACCAAAAATCACCATGTAACAGATGCGTGCAGAGAACCTATCAAGAAACCATTGCTATTTATCATACGAATAATCAGTGACTGAAGTTAGTTGATGCTTTAGTAGATTCCTCTGGTTAAGTTAAAAGAGCGGCATAACCCTTACAAGCTACTCAATCTAACTCATTCCATATTTATCCAGTCTCACCCAAACAGCAGACAAGTTTTCCAGAGTAAGGTTCAAAAATAAAATTTCCCCAATAGAAAATCCGAGTTAAAATGTTCCTGCTCTCTTGCCCGTGCATTACCACATGCTGAGCTTTCTAGGTCAGATCATTTCAGTCAGCAGCCCAACTGCACTCTCACCAGTGCACTGAGAGGGCAGTACTTCAAAAGGTGCAAGTGCCCAAGAACAGCCTTGCTGCTGAACTGTACAGGGGACTACCCATTAGTAGTTTGGGGCTTCCTAAATTAGTGCCTTGGATAGTTCAATCAGCCTCAGGTAACAAAATGGTTAGAATCCAATCAAATCAACTTGAGTAGCTAATCACATCTACATTTTAGATACCTCTTGAACCAGTCTTTCTAAAATAAATTCCATTTATTTCTGAGAAAGCTAGGTGCCTTTGAGATCCTCCTGAGGGACAGCCTAAATTGGGTAGGATCTCCCTCTGGACCTGCTTTTCTAGGCAGTTTTCCTATTGAACATGGAGGGAATTTAGGCACTTAAGAGAACTAGTTCACTATGTGCTCAAAACAGGTGCTCATTAGCTGCCTGTGCCTGACTGGAATCCCCCCCAGTTTAGGTGCCAAAAAATTTATCTTAAAGGCTAGCATTATGTTATGCCTCACTGGTGTAAAGAAAAAAAAACAAAACAGCATGTATTGTACACTACAAACAGATCAAGACCAGGAATGTAGCAAGAATGTATAAAATAGGATGTCAGGACCATACCTTTACCAACAGCCTCAGTGCAATCCAGTACTCCCACTGCGTAAGCCCAACACTGCAGGAGGAGAAAGCAGACGAGGCACTTGTAGCCACGAGCAGGGCAGGCTGTGCAGATGAATGCTATCAACTGCAGGTGTGACTTGAGGTAAGAAGCTGGTCCTCGCAGCAGCTCCCCTGAGCACCAGCTGTGCTCCAGCTCCCTCTGCCTTAAGGCCAAACTAAGGTGCTTTGTGGGAACTTTTCACAACAGAGCTCTGTCAGCTGCCCACCCACCCCTTTTTTCTTTTAATTTATTTTAAATCAGGCTACTCCTGAGGTATTCCATAGCTCTCTTACTACAACACAAGGAATAGACTAAGAGCAAAGCAAAACCAAAGCCACGATACTTGCTGTATGCATACATAACCTCACGCTGTCTCTAGCATAGAAAAGCAGGCCACCACTGCCATCTGCACTGCAAGAAGCACCTGTATTAAAAGCATAAGCCAAAGACCCTGAAAATGAGCAGGAAGCAAGTTCTTACAGGATAGCAGAGCTGCCACCATGGCAGTAGCTAGGTGCCCACTGTGTCCCATGTGAACTCCCTAGGGAGGTGCCAGGCCTGAGCAGAGGCAGAAGGACAAGGGAGAGAAAATAAGGCCTGGGAGGCTTTACGGGTGACTGCAGGACAGAGGAAGAGGCCCTGTGTGGGTGGTGAGAAAGCCTAAGACCAGGCTAGATGCTGCCTAGAAGAAAGAAATCCCTCTCATGGCCACTGGTCCCCCTCAGGGAGCCAGCACTACACGTCTTCCGCAGCAATGCCTCCCCCCTGCCCCAGCACACCCATGTCTAAGCCCACCTAGGACTTAAACATGGTTTGACCCCAAACCAGCACCATTCACTGGGCTTCCACCTACCCTTCAAGTCTGAGGATCACCCATATCAAAAATTGCTATGAGCAAACTTTCTCCCCATCTCACAGCAGCTCTGGGGGCAGCATGGAGACAACTAGGCAAACCAGAGCACTGGGGAAAGGAGAACTCAACAACAAAGGCAGCTGCAGGCAATAAACTACATCAGCTGGATAAATGCAGACAGCTGGGGATGCAGCACATGACAGGGCACAGAAAATAAAGAGCAGATGATTCCTAGGTCTGCCCAGGCTGTGCTGAGGGATGCTTGGCAGACATGTCTCCAGCATGGTAGCCACCACTGCTTGACCCAGCCTTTGTGCCTTGTCTTGGATCTCTGCTAAGTAATTCCTGCTTTGTGTATAGTAAAGATGTGTTGCTGATAACAGCCACCAGATGACACTTCTGATTTTCCCAAAGCGCCAAACCCCCCCCCATGTATGCTTTTCGGAACAGAAAGTTCCAGTAACAGTACTGGGGTGAGAAAAAGTATCTTTTCCTGTTCTGCTGCTGCCCAACAGCAGGAGTCAGTCAAAAAATTCATTTGAATTTAGAATGAGTGTTTTATACGGTTGAGTCTATTCACATGTATTAGTAGTAAGGAACATCACTATAGAGTGTGTGGGCTTGTTCTTTAATTAAAATGAATTTTGTAAAGAATAATTAAGTTCTTAGAGGCATTATGAGAGTTTATGGCACTCACTGGCTAAATTAGTACTCAGAAATCAACAGTTTCACAGGCTGAGCCTATACCATTTGGCATGTGTACAAATATTGCACACATAAATACTGGCTCCTGCTGCTTCCTCCAGCACTGGTTGGTGTTAAGTCGCTTTCTTAATTTCACTTTGCTTCTCTTGTCTGCAGTATAAAGATAATACTTCTCAGCTCTGCAGTGGTGCCAGGCTTGATTCATGAATGTTTTAAAGCATTCTGTGATTTTCACCCTGAAAGGTGCTTGAGAACCATAAATTATTACTTTAATATAGATAATAGTTTTCATCTCATGAATGTTTTATACTACTACTCCAAATTCATGCCTGATATAACTCTAATAACTTGAGCAGAGTTAAACTAGGGATAAATTTGGTACAATATATGAGGCAGCAAAATGAAATTCCAAGTGTGAGGCAGAGGGTTTACCAAGTAGTACTGCATACACAGTAATGTCAGAAACTCGCCCCACTGCCTGCTTACCTACAGGAAAATTATCAGCTCATGGCATTCTTTAACTTGTTAAGGTTTGATTCATCATTATGTGCATGCTTCAGGCCAAAATCATATTTTTCTAATACATTCTATTGCTATACATATGTAGTTTGTATTTACTGAGCATTAGTAGACTTGATCATGTATTTGAAAGCAGATTATTTTTTCCCTTGCCACTCCTGCAACTTCCAGTCCTTAGTTGTAGGATCATAGGACACAGGACTAGAAGGGATCCACTGGGCCGTAGTCCACTTCTTAAGCAACCACATGGCCAGTTTAGATCTCTGGTTTTGTGCCAACCTTTCCCTATAGGTGAAATAACTTTTCTCCTCCAATGTCATCTAACTACTCTGCCTTTATATACACATGAAGAGTAAAATGTAAAATGTGCTGTTTCTCTGGTCATGAGTGGCCCATGTCTGATGGACTTGGTGTAAATGTTCACAAAGCAAATGCAGCAGAAAGAGCACACCACTAAGTAAAAATAATTTCTTGGTGTTTTCTGGTAAAATGGATGAAATGTGTATTACCACCAATCTTCTTTCTGTTTGCTGATCGAATTTTATCAAGGGACTTTAAAGAATACACTGCAGGTATCAAACTAATGAAGGCCTGTTACTGAGCATGTTTTCTTTCTATAAACAACATAATAAAGACATTTCTAGGGATATGATAACCAGCTTTGAAAAGAAAAATTATTTGCTAGACATCTGCTACTTCATTCTTTAGCTGAACCTTGGAGAAATTCAGATCTTTGTTGATTATAGTCTCCTTCCCTCTGCAACTGATTGCTAGCATTATCGCCTTTCCAGTTGGTCTTCAGATTTTCCACTCTTCAGTGTCTCCAGTGAATGATCTTGGCTGTCATGGTTATTATAATACTTCTCTATTCCCTTCTTTCCCAATTCTTTCCTATTAAGGAAAATTTCTACAGAGAGTAATGGGAAACTTGATATGCTTTCAAATCTGATGTAACAATGTAACCTACTCTATTTAGAGTTTCTTACAGAAACAGAGTATTTCCTATGAAGTTTTTACATTTAGAATGATTGCTATAGAACCTCTTCTTTCTTCTCTCCTGTCCCCCTGTCCCCCTTCCAAACAGGACTTTACTTTACACTGTATTATATCAAAGAATACATTGTTGAAGATCCAGCTGATCCAGAGGCTTGGCGATCTTTCTACTGGATGCTATGTTCACCTGAACATGCAACTAGTTGCGAAAGCACCACTTTTAGCTACTATTAATGCTAGTTCCTAGAATGGGATGAGTAAATGCAAACCAAAATATCGTATTCAAATACTTTTTTGCTGATAGCTGCATTTGATCATAAAGAAACTTTTGAAACATTGAAATTAACTTGGATGAGAATTAACTAGGCATCCACCTTCATTTTTTCACCACCAGAATTGAGACAGGACTGTCACCAAATCATAAAGAGAAAATAAGGTCCTCTTAAGTATTAAGTAAAGCTCAGACCTGGAGATAATGTGAGTACTGTAGAGCCACCTTTAATGGAAATCATAGGTGTGCAGCTGGCATAAATGCAACTTCCATCAAGTATTGAGATTTACTCAATTAAGCAAGTAACTCCTGAGTGTTGAATGAGCAACCTGGACAATCAGTTCAGAGAGTTGAAAAACCACATTATTAAGTCACCTGTAAGATGCACCTGAAGTCTGAGTTTAGCATAGGAAGAATTAGAATTCAGGACGGTATCATTGCTAGATTTCTAAATTAAGTGCCCACATTTGCATGTTCTGCAACACACAGTTGGGCAGGCAATCACACATTTGTCTTCATGGTACTCATGTAAATTGGTATGTCAGTGCAAAAATGTAAGGTCCTGGGCAAATTAATTAGTGCACATATTATACAATCAGTCAGCATTAGGTACCAGGCTAAACATTTGATCCATCAAAATAATGGACTTTTTATTTCCATAGCTCTGGTGCATAAATCAGGCACTAAACAACAGTGAATCTAAGCATCTACACTGTTTGGCTGTAGTAACTTTAGAGGCAATCCTACTACTGGAGTAGCTAACTGCCAGTAATTAACATATATAAAATGAGGATAAAGGAGTACCCTTTTTTAAGTTTTACTCTGTCTCAGCATCCTAAATTTAAAAGTTCAAATACATCTGAGAGAACATTTTGAAAATTCAACAGTGGGAAAAGAGTGAGAACAGAATGAAGAGAAGTAGAGCAGGGAGGATAAAAGTAAAGCTGACACAGCTCCAGATGAAAGCAACAGACAGAAGGAAAACATGACTTCACATTATTAAAGATAAACACAGGCCACACCATCAGAAACCCACACAGCTTAGGTTAGGTCTTGATCCTCCAATCAGAGCTAGATTGCAGACAAGAGACTTTTATTTCTGAGACTGTTTTTCTGATTTGTCTTTTTAATCCCCAATACATGGACTAGCCTGTAATACTGAGATTTCTTTTAGGTACCATAAAATTAATGCATTTGCACAAATAAAAACTATATTATGAGTCTTCATCTAGCCTACCATTCTGGTTAGAATTTATTTCCCAGGTAAACCTCATGCAGGAAGTTCATACATCCACCAAGCTCCATCCACAGTCATTCGTATGTCTTTGTATCGCAGAGAAGTGTTTTGTGTCTCAGCAGGTTATTGTTTAATGGGCTAATGCATATTTTTTAATGAAATAGTATTGTGGAAGTTCTATGGGGAGGCATGTTACCTGTAAAAAAAAAAAAAAAAGCAACAGAACCACTTCCAAATACTAAAAAAGCTCGCTTAGTCATGTGGTGAAGGCTAACTTCACCTGTTGATCTGAAGGGTGTTACACCAGGCCTTGTAGAATTTAGCCCTATAAGCAATAGTATGCAATAATTACTACAGGAAAATCACCTTGCTGCTTTATTTTTGTGCCATTTGGAAAACTGGAATATAATTTTCCCCCAAAAGAGTGACTGCATTTTGTTATTTTAAGCCCAGAACTATATGTATACCTTCTAATTGCAGTATCTTACCCTCTCACAATCAAAAATAAAGCACATGGTATTGTGAGAATATGTTCTATTTCTTTAAATTCTGCATGCCAACACTACACTGTCACCCTGGGATTTTTTGTTGGTAGCTGGTGAATGAGCAACAAGAAAGCAGACCACTTCTGAGCCCCTCCATTGACGACTTTCTCTGTGAAACTAAACCAGAAGCTGTTGCAAGACCTGTAACATCAAATACTGCAGGTAATTAAAATTCTTTACTATCACTCACTAGAGAGAAATAATTTTAATTTTATCTTAATTATGGTGCATTTTTGTCAAGTGATTTCTTGATTTGTTATTATTTGCAAAAATTACAAGCTGGTATTAAATTATAACTGCTTCATCTATTAGTAGAAAAAGCTTTGTTCATTACATCTGAGGGCAAATCTGGTGTGATCTAAATCACATATGTTCCAGCAGATCTCTGATGTTGAAGTAAAGCGAACTTGTTTAAGTTCAAGAGGAAGTACATACCAGTTTGACCAATTCTCAATCTGGTTTTGCAAAATTTTAACCTACAGGAAGCCACATTTATCTGGCTTTATCCAAACCCATTACTTCTTCTAGAAAGACTTTCTTTAATAAAAACTTGGATGGGATGTCAGAGAGAAGGGAAGAGATACCAAAACAGTTTATCTGGGCTGAGTTTGGTCACTTTATTGATGAAAGGATCTAAGACATTTCTTATCTCCCTTGTGTTGCAATGAGATAGAAGATAGTGAGATATAGTGATAATAAGATGTGAGCACATAAGAAAAAGTAAGAGTGATTCCTGAAAGCTTTTTGTATTATACTGAATTATATTTGAAATATATTGTCCTTTGGAATTGGCCTCGTCCTGTTCAGTATAGGACTTTCCTTTGTGCAAAGGAAATCAAAGTGGTTGAGCAGATCAACTAAGTTACAACAAAATCAGCACAGCACTACTATGTTCACTTGCTGTCTCATTAAGTGGCTTGGCTGGTTAGAAGCCATTTAATTAAAATCTATATACATGCAAATTATTAAATGAGTAACTGACAGCTGGGTGATTATCTTCACATTTAATTAATAAGTGTCTAAAGCAATATGCAAGTCCTACTAGCAAAATCCGGAACACTGAATTAAATAACAATAGTAATATTTTTTCCTCCTATGTATAGCTAAAGATATTACAAGGATCAATAAAAATATTTCAGGTTGTCTAAGAGTGGTGCTTATAAAAACTATCTATAGATACTATATCTGCCTTGAATATTTATCAGACTGGGGGGAGATAATTGCAATAATTTAATAGCAAAATAGAAATGTCTTATTCTATGAAGATTGATGAAATCCACTAGTTTTCCAAGAACACAGATAAAGCACAGCAAGAGATAATGCAAACTGATCTGTCAAAGACACCTGCGCTGTAAAACAATGATAGAGGGAGGATTTTTATCTTTTATGTGCAAAATAATTTAAAATGTTACTCTTTAAGCAACTTTAAATGAAGAACTGAGACTGAACATGTCTTTCATGCTGATACAGTGCTTAATAGAAATAGCAGTAGAATTTATAGCTATATTCTGTATTTATTCCTCAAAAGACAAACAGCAACAGTAGAAACCATTACTAAAAGTACCATTACTCCTTTACGACCCAAGAAATCCAGCCTAGAACTGTCAGGTTTTCCCATAATGGTATGTAGCATAACAGTACTGCCTTATGCAGCTACTTGATAAATCACAGGATTAAACCAAATCTTATCTAAAAGCTCAGTTAGGCGTACAGGGAACTCTCACAATATCAGATCTAAGATTTCTTTAAGGTTTTCAGAGGAAAAGGCTTTTATGCAAATTAAGCTTTTTTAAACTCAGCCTGTTAAGCACCTGAAATCCTTAATCAATTTGAATATACTGGTCATCATCCAGGAAACATCACCAGCAAGGAAATATACATTTGCTGTAGTCAAGTGCAAACACATTCATATTTTTTTCCAATCAAACCAAGTTTTTTTAAGTGAGCTGTTCAAATTAAAGCAACATTGAATTCTAACATTTTGTCTCCAAGTATTATCAACAGGTCTGGATCTCTTGGATCTTAGTGAACCTGTCTTACAAAGCCAAAACAAAGCAAAGAAGTCAGAGAATCCATCAAGAAGTGAAGGCTTAAAAGCTTCAATCCACAGAAAGAAGACAGACAATTCTGACCTTATAAGCGTGGATACTGAGCAGAAAGCCCAGACTGTCAGAGTTTCAGACAAATCTTCACTAGATTTAGGTAAGAGTGTAGCTATTTTATCAGTGCTAGATAGCCTTGCTTAGCACAAATTTTTCCTTGCTACTATCACAAGCTAATGTGCAGGACCAGAATTTTTGTTGAGAGGGTAGCCTTTGTTCCACCTTATAAACTACTTGAAACATGTTAAACTTGAAACCTGTTTTGCCTTTGTCATTTTAACCTATGAAGTTACTAAATGTGCAAATTTCTTACAAAAAATAATTTAGTCAGGGTAAAATGGTAGAAAAATCTATAGGGGATTGGTAAGAAATAGGTAAAGGAGACAAATCATCCAGCCCATGAACGTCCTTTTCAGAACCGCAGATGTCAGAAATACACATTAAATTTGTAAATACTACTTTATCTATGCATATAAGGAAAAAAAAAATCCCTTCTCGATAGAGAGCTATGTTTATACAGGCTAAAAAAATATATAATCCCAAACACAACTTAATATCCTGCCAAGCATGATCTATAGATAAGATTTGGAAAAGATGAATTTAATTTAGTTCCATCCAAACAAAATTACTTGCACCGCAGCTGAGAAATTTGCAAGGTAAATGTAATTTATACCAAGGTAGCAGATTTCCATTCATCACATTCAGCACAGAAATTATTTTAGAGAACTTTTTCCTCAAACAGGAGGTGAACATCTGATTTTTGCAAAGCAAGTCTGACATATGACTGAATAATATCAGTTGCCTACACAGTCATTTTTAAATGGTAGTCACTATAAAGTTTTATTTTTACAATTTGACTATAACTAGAAAATTAAAATATCCAAAACTATCAAATCGTATAATTTTATCAACAGATCTAAATTACTTACAAATTACTGATTTTAAATTAAAGAGTCTCACTGACATCCTGACCATGAATACTAACAGAAAAAATGTTGTGAATTCCAAAATATTTTCATCGATCATTAGCTGAAAAGGTGCACAACTTTTCTGTTTATTGCGGCTTAACTAAAATACAGTCTGGCGGCACCACTTTCTCTATAACCTCTTAACAGAAGAGATAAAATTTTCTGCAGTAGTTTCTTTTAAAAATATTTTATTTCTTTTCTTATTTTTCAGTTGATATTCAGACACAGCTAGAGAAATGGGATGATGTCAATTTTCCTGGAGACAGGAGTAGCAAAGCCCACCCTTCTGCAGAGCGAACATCGTCATCATCTAGAGCTCCATCAAAAGAGCTTTTATGGTACAAATTTTTGCTTTCCTTACAAAAAATATTTCCAGTCCAGCTTTCTTAATTCACAGAAATGCTCACTTCATGACAAGTCATATTATTAAGTCTGTTATGACTACGTTAAACGTGTTCAAGCAGACATTTTGGGCAATGTATCATAAGCAAATACACTATATAATTACGTTTTGCCAGTAATTTTCAATGTTGTGAAAAGCAGCAGGTGCAATTAGTAAATAAATGGTGGTGAGAAATCTACAGAGGCATGCAGTGATTTAAAACCAGCTACAAACGTGAGTAAAATAAGTAAAAAGGGATACTTGGCAGTGATATCACAGTCACTGGGTATCCATTGTATTTTGGTTTTGCTACCAAGAGGGCAGAATTTCTGTGTATAAATGGAAGAAGTAACATAAAATATCCAACACAATTACTACCTCTTCCACACAGTTCAACTAAAATTGCAGGGGATGTAAACGAGGGAAGAATTAGATTTTGCCTTTGGGAACAGTTCATGTAGACTAAATCTGCTGCCTTCCTGATATGTAAGCAACACTCATTCACTACATTATGCATCACCATAATTAGCATTTTCATACACTAGAAGCAGTTTTCTGAACAAATGATGCTTATCCTGTATCTTAACCTGCATTTTATCAGGGTGTTTCATTAACTTAAAGCATTACAAGTTTTGCTCAGTGAACTCAATTTTGGTAATCAGGATTTCATTTTCTAGGAAGAAAGACTATTAGGACATTGTGGCACAAGAATGCACATATGCCAAGGTGAAGTTTTGTAATGTGGTGGTTGATTCTTAGATACTGACTGCAGATACAGTCTTGTGTCATTGCCTAACCTCATTCTGCCTGGCTATGAAATAGAAGCATAGCATTAGAGGCAAAGTCTTCATCCCATCATACTAATTTCATGCCAATACATACCATGGGTTCTACTGGTGAATCAGGCCTGACCTGTTGTATTAACTACTGTCTGCATATGACTGAAAAGTCTAAGAGTGGGAACACTGAGAAGGGTCCAGGCACTTTCGATAACTGCAAATAAAACAATTCAGTTAAAAGAAATAACCTAATTAATCAGTATGTGCTTATGAACCTGAAAGACATAAGGAAGCATGCCATAGTGCGCAGTGGTATGTAAATGCATTGTTTCTAGGTCCACAGAAAACAGATCACAGTCCGAGCTGACTAATGTCAAGAGTGCCTTGGAATCCGATTCAACATCAGAATTAGAACTTGCTTCTGCAACACAGGTAAGAGGATATGGTAGATTTATTAACAATAAAAAGACAAGTAGGAATTGCACCAGTGGTTATCTGTTTACATTCTGGAAGAAATATTTCAGAGATATTTTCAGGATCATCAGTTAAAAAAATCATACAACCAAATCTTCACAGAGCTTCCAAATTAATGTTATGAAAATAAACCTGCCAGTGTTAGACTGGCAGGTGAACTGTGACCCTCCTGTACAGAAAGACTTCAAACTACAATTTACAATATCATCTTTTCTCCATTACTCTAGTTCTCAAATTCAAACTTCTAGTGGCTCCCTCTCCTTGTCATGTATCTATTCTCAAGGTCTTTTGGTAAACCAGGAGTCTCCAGAACTGGAAAATAGCTAAGGAATACAGGAAAGAATCATTAGACCAACTTTCGTTAGCAATTTATTTCCACAGGAGGGAGAGGAGAGTGGGCCAAGGACATTTTCCTGCTGGAATGGGAACACTATTGAAGAAGGCTCTGGCTTGAAAGTTTCTAGATTCGCCTAATTGCACTGTCATATTGTATTTTAGGCAGGACTTTGTGGAAGTTATTACTCAGAGTTGTATGGGTTTTACATATGCATGTATGCATATATATGTTCAAACATACATTATATATGCAGGTATGCATATGTATGTACAAACATTCATTATATTTTGCATAGGTCAGGTCACTATACACCTTCTTGCCTGCTTCTTATTTTTTAACCAAAAGGTTTCAAGTTCAGCCAATGCAACTAGTAGGGGGAAGGGAGAGATATTTGGTGGATTAACTTTTAGTTGAAAATATTTTTTCTCCTCTTCCACAGCTATTTTTAGTCCTGGACTTCAAAACATTTCTGTCAGATGGAAAATCTGGAAATTAATGGAAAATAAAAGCCTCACTTGAAATTACAAAAATGAGACACCAAAGTTCCAAATGCCTTTCCTGAGATTATGCATGGAAGGGGGTTTTTTGGAGAAAATATAAACACAACCAAGTTATTAGGATCCATTCCTGTGTTTTGATTAGGAAAAAAGTCTCCTTTTCTTCCCTGCCATCTTTACATTATAAACAAGAGTTTTTCCCCTTTGGAAAGCCTAACACTAGTTGTAATACATGATATTTTTCCTGTCTGTGCAATAGATTTATACATTTTAGTAATAGAAAAGGTCTATTACATAATATCATCCACTTGAGACAGACAGTATGTTTTCAAATGCTTTTGATCATCATATCTTTAAGTACCTCTAACCCCTTTTTAGGAGGCTGTTCTTCAGCCTAATAGATCTAAATGCCAGGAAGTTTGTGCTCAGTCAAGATGCGTGTAAATCAACTAGACAGTCACAGAATTTAAGTGCTGTGTCTTTCTGTAAAAGCAGTTACAAATTTAGTATTTAACATAGCTAATTTATATGGTCTATTTCCTGTTTATCTTCCACTAGAATAACTGCAGAGGCAAAAATCCACATTTTTAATTCAGTGTAAGTTGAGTCAGCTGAGTTTCCATGCTATTTTCCAAAATAACTAGTATTTCAAAATAAAAATATGTGACGCTGAATCAGCCAACTTGAAAAAGAAGCAGAGTATAAAATTATTATCTGTTGTCCTGGTATATTTTATGTTTTGTTTAGTTTTATCGTCAGCTGCTTTTTTTCAAACTTGTGATCCATTCAAGTCATGAAAGTTGTTAAACTGGTAATCAGTAGTGCAGAGAAGTGACCTGAAGTGAGATTGTTTTCTTGTTCCAAGTAGTTTACTTAGAAATTTAGTATTTTAATTCACTGCCTGCTTTGTCCTGCTTATACCTGGACTGTCAAAAGTTGTCATTTCCCAACAAACACGCTCATCTGTCTTGACTGCATCCTTAATCTGCTTGTAAAAGAAATCATGTTAGCGCTTTTTATCAAAGCATATGTTTTCCATAGTTTGTCCTCTGTAGATCTTGTCTCTCTCATTTACGGGTAACTTTTGCATATGCAACAGATTCTGCCATACCCTAAAGATTTCATCTTGTCAAACTTGCTGCAGTTTTCCATCAGCAGTTTCTCAGACAATCACCTTCATCACTCATCTTTGACATGTTAGATTTAGTTCCTCAAAGTGAAATGCTATGTAACTAGATCATATTTTCATTAAAATTATGCAATCTTCTTAACAAAATCCTGTGTTTACCAGCACTTATGCCAACACCAAATCACAAATGTAAGCTTTGAATTAATAAGGAAGAAATGTGTTTGAAGGCTGGAATGGGCAATGGCATGGTAGCTGTCACTGAGTGCGGTCCTCTTCTCAGCATTCTACTTGCATCATATGTTACCTATTATTAACTCGTAAACTGCATTGGCCCAAAGTATCTTTGTTCTTTATTTTATCTGCCATTCTGGAAAGTTCCTTGCTGCGCTTTTATTAGTACTGAGATAACTACGGTGTTTGGGTGCTTCTGAAGGCTTATTTTTTCTCTTATAATTACAAACTGCAGAGGGAGATAATATGTTCAATTATGTATGTATGAAGTCTGCTCATATTTTAACTTTCTAAATATCTCCTTGGGCATTTTAGATATTTTATTGCTCACACAGAATGCATACACAAACCCCCTGACATGCTAAACAACCATACCTAATTCTAGTATGTCAGCACTTGCAGACGAAGTAATACACAAAGCTCATAAATCTTAGAAACCTGTAGTTTGGGGCAACAATATTTAGAATGAAGAATTTATTCCCCACTTCTCCCAGATAAGACTGATGGGCCCAGTTCTCTGTGAATGTGCCAGCTAATTTAATGAAATTAAGAGCTACAAGGGACAGATTTAGCTCATTATTTGAAGACCTGCTCAAAAGTTAAGACTATAATTTAAGCCTCTCACCAACAGTTAAGGTCCAACAGCACATAAGCAGACAACAAGCGCAGGAAAGTATGTGCAAATGCATTGGAATGGAAGATCTTGTCCCTGAAGACAGCAGCCAGTGATCAGCTACAGCACCTCCATGGTAGAGTGGTGAGCATATCAAACCACAGTCTATGCAGAGTGTCCATGCCTCAGACATACCCATTCCACCCTGACCCCTACCTGCCTTGGGCTCCCCTTGAGGGATGGAGCTGCAGAGTCCCAATCCATCACCAGCTGCAGATGTGAAGTTCTCCACTGCCAGCACTCCATTCCAATCCCCTCTATTATGCACTAGCAAAAGGCATCATGTTTGTTTTAAGTGGGGTCTTTCTCTTTGGCTTATCACCACTCGGAATATGACTGCACTGTCTACATCCAAATGCAGCTTATATGGGTCTTATTAACTACTTCTTTCTTTCCCCTCTGGCTGTGCATCTAATGGAGGAGAAAGCATATTTCTGAGGGGAATATGTGGGGACAATGTGTATACTCTGACATGCGGCAGACATGCCATGCCCTACGTGGCACATGCAAAGGAGACATCGGCATTTTTTGTTCTTTTCCCCTTCACCTCTCTACTTCCCCAACAAGCACACTCTCCCCCTTCTGCAGCACTGCTCAGTCTGAGCATCATGATTTACAGTATTGTACTTGACCTAAGGAAACTGCAGTCACTGGAAACAAAAGATTAAGAAGTGGAAGTAATCAAAGTTTGCAAGAGCCACCTTATAAATAATGAAAAGCCTAGGGACATTACTAATGTCTTGCAACAGAGTTTTGTGTCAAGAGACCAAATATAATTATTTGATCAGATTATAGGTCAGGTTGATAAATGTTGCTGTATGATAGTCTGAAAGATGTTTGAATTAACTTACCATATTCTGATTTTAAAATTAGCACCGTACCATATGAATAAAGCAGCTGTTAAACAGATAAAAAAATGGCTAACCTAAGATCTCAAGAACAGTAGTTATTTACTATGAATTGTATTCACATAAGGGCTCTTCTGCAATTCCAAGGAGAAACCATGGTCTTTGGTTTTATTGATCTGAATATAAAGAAGCAAACCATTCCTGATAAAACCGACATATGATGCAAAAAATGTAATGAAAAGTATGTAAATAAGGGAGTCATTACCAGCCAGTCTTGAGCTGATGACCAATATGTCTGTACAAAGACATATTCCAATACAGTCACAGAATAATACATTTCAGAACTAGAACACAGGCTCTACTTACAACATTATGCTGGAAGGCAGTTTGAAAAGAATCTATAGTTCAGAGTGTACAAGGATGTCAACATGACAACGTGTACGGTACTGCGGGAAGAAGACCGTGCAGAAGCAGGCATAATTAGTGGGAGACAGGCAATCACCCCATTTCTGTATAGAGAAACAGCAATACAGATAACTGGAATATAGGGTTTTCTTTGGTTGTCTGTATGGCTATTAAAAAAATAGACTTATAAAAAAATAAAGAGGGAGAATAAAAGAGACACAAAAAAGGCTGAAATCAGAAGAAAATGCCTCATAATGAGGTAATTTAGAATCTCAACCTCTTTATATAATTTAAAATACAGTTAAAACCTGATTCAAGACATCAGTATCTTTCCAGAGAGAAAATACTGGCTACTAAAAAGATCTTTAAACTACTGGAAAAAGAGTAAAAACAATAGTTGGAAACTGAAAGGAAAATTAATAAGAAAAACGAGGACAGCAATTAAATTAATTTGCAAGTAAAGTGATAAGATTAAGGTCTCTTGATAACTTTAAATTAAAGCCACACACCCTCCTCAAAGACACATATTCCAGACAACCTCAGTTTATTCTCTGTGGAACATCAGTTTCAGCTTTCAGATGTCGAGTGACAAATACTGTCATATGATATATAAACAAATAGATGACTTGAATCAGTTGTCTCTTCTGCCCTAAACTGTATTATTCACTAAAATAACTGGTTTGTGTATAGGATTAGGTTTTGGCATGTTTTTAATGACAACCTGGTATCTCTTCCTGGCCTCACCAAATAAAAAATGTACTTTTCCAACAACACAGACCAGAGACAGTCAGTGTGAAAGGAGAAACAACAGATCCTCAGTGTAGATCTCTCATGCTCTGTGCTTCCTGTCACTTGCAGCAAAGTCCAGAAACCAACACAGAAGAATGCATTCAGTGACCTCCACCACCACCTGGTCTCACAGAAATTGTGCAGGATAGTTCTCTTCTAACCTCATGTGTATCATCAACCCAGTATATATTTCACTCAATCTATCGAGAGACCAAAGACTCAGGAGCAAACAGGAACTTTAGAGCTAGATTGACAAACAAACGTCATCTTTCCTAGGTAAAAACCCACACAGACATACCTATTTGACCATGCATTGCACATGACTTATATGTCTGGGATGTTTCACCCCAACAGTACACATTCCACTTGCAGTTCCAGCCCAATATGTGTGAAATGAGCAGAATTAGTGTTTTAGCAGTATGGCTCAATGAATATTACAAGTACAGTCATCAGAAATATAATATAAACTAATACATTAGGGACCATGGTCAGGCAAATGGCTAATGAGTTTAACCTCTGACAAAGATGAGGGAAGGGATTAGCAGTCAGAGCTCTGCTTAGCAAAAAAGCACTTTGTGCTTTCCTATGCCATCACTGCATACTGTTTGGTTTTGTACTGGGCCTTTTGTGCAAAAAAATAAATAAAATGTTTTTAATAAAAGAACAGGGAGAAACTTGCCATGTGCTTCCAATGGGATTGACTGATAGTAAGGCACAGAAAAGAGAGCTGCTGACTGTAAAAAGCATCTGTGCTTCCAGTGAAATCTGTAGCAAATGTGGCTCTCCAGTGTGGTTTCAAAGCAGAGTCTGAAAGAAAATCACAAAATATACAAGGAAAATTAGATGTTTTCTTCCTGGAGCATACAGAGTGGAATGCATTGCCACAGTCATAATACTGGAGAAGGAACAATTAAGGAAAAAGTCTTACACAAAATAGTCAGCTCTTCCCTTTGTATCCCAACTCTCGTATTGTCTTTTCCTGGAAGTCTCTATGTCTTTCACACATCTTGAGTAATTATAAAAGTCTGGAAAAGATCAATTACTCTGCTTCCCATGAGGAATGATCTCTGCTGCAGTGTAAGAGAATTCAGAGGAGTTCATGCAGGGATGCAACTAGTTTTGCCCAAGCAAAAGGCCATTTCAGGCTGTAGGCAATTTGAGGAAATAACTTAGAAATGTGGCGGAGAGTATGTCATCCTGTCCTGATTTATTCTTTTCTCTTTTAGGCACGATCAACTAAGGAGCAACGTTGGGGAGGGCCTTTACTCTCCAGAAATCACTCTTTGGAGGAGGAATTTGAAAGAGCAAAGGCAGCTGTTGAGGTATTGCTCCATTTACTGTTTTCATTTGCAGCTAATGTTCTATGGATTTCTTATCTTGCAGCACAGGTATAGGAGAAAGTTGGAACTGGATTGTTTAAAGCAGAGAAAAGATACACTGCTTGGAGTTACTAATTTAAAATAGCAGTTTCTATCTTTAAAAAAGAAATAAATAAATAACTTAGCTAGAAATGAAGATTAGACAGAACCAAATTCTCAAGCTCGACCTTTATTGCTATAGCAAGTAGGTCAAGAAAAAATCCCCATAAATGTAAGTACTTCCAAACTCAAAGTATAAGAGTGAAACATATTTTTTCCCCAGGAGCTGAATATGTGCATTCAGTTATTTAAGCTCAGGCACAGACCAGTTCTCCACAGTGAAAATGGAATTCAGAATCATTTATAAGCAGGATGATTACCTGCTGTCATGGATAACTGCATGTATAGCAGTAACCACACATCAATTTTTATAATTAGTGGCAGAATGTTAAACACAGGAGCACTCGTTTCCTAACAAATCAATTTAGTTTGAAAGGTGCAGGTATTTGGATAGTTCTCCTATTGCACTTCTGGGTGTTTTTTTTCACTAAGTACTTTTCCGACATGAAAAATGCCTCTTGAGTGTTGTCCTATATCACTAGTCCCAGCTGAGATCCCAATCCTGTCTAGAGACAAGATGGCATATATAGTTTTTTAACAGAAACAAAGAAAAATTAAATATAAGTATTGATTTTGAGCATCAAATCTTCTCAGGGGTTTAGTGGGTAACCCTTCAAAATCCCATCACCACAAAGGGCAAAGGCAGCTGCATCCAACAGAGGACGAAAGTTCAGTCTGTCTTATGTAACAGCTACTGAAATGAGTTTTTGGGGTGGAAAGGATAAGGCTGTGAAACTGGTTCCACAAAAATGATTGGTTTTGACATAAACTGCAGTCCCATTAGTCTCAAAACATCTAGAACACTTCAGGGATATTTGGATTTAGGTTTAAATTTTAGTGCCTGTATTTTAATACTCCTCTAACTCAAGTTTTATACCACTGTAATTGAAGTGTTGGCAGTTGAACTATGCTAGATTAATATTGGTTGATTACAAACAAAACAAGGCCAAAATCATATGGTGGCTGCTAGCTAGAATCAAGCTTTCTCATTTAAAAAGTTAATTTGATTTTCATGATATGCTAAGGTAAGACTGCATGGGTTCTACCATGTTTTCTTAGTATTTTACTGAACACAAAAAATGTCTTAGTGTACAAGGCTAAAATGAACACAATCCATAAAATAGCTGTTTTACGAACTGTAAACTGAAGGCATTTTTCTTGTATTTTCTGAGTGCACTGTTTTTTTCTGATCAGATAGATTCTTTATAAAAATCTGTTAGTGACACTGCTGTCACATATCATACATGTTTGCTCCTGGTAGGAAAGGAGAGATTTGCTTTCAGATTGACATTGCTTAAAATGCTCTAGATGTTACTAATTGACTAATTGCATTTCAGACTGATCCTTAAAATGGGACAGGTTGTGCTGTAATCTCTGATTGTGACACAGGGAATCTGATGACGGATATCTTTCTGTTACAGTTAGTGGTTAAGCAAATCGTATCAGTACTCTTGTAATTGCCAGAAACTATGTGTGATGGGGAGTTCTCAGGCATTCAACAGAAACAAAAATTAGTTGAGGCCAACAACAGACTACAAGATATTATTAAATTAGTTTACAGAGTAAAGTATGAAGGAGAATATATAGTGAAAAATACACCTGCACATTAAAAGCTCATTCTCAGGCAACTGATTGTTAAATGCTTTAATGTAGCCTCACCAACACCTATTAAAAAGAATCTAATTAAATGCTTCCCTAGCTGTTCAGCTGGCAGTCTTAATTTTATTTTTTTTTTTTTTTGTTTAAAATAGAAGCTTGGCCCAGGTAGTTAAAATGTAAAGGAAAGGATTCTTCAGGATCTTATACAGCAGCTATTTTCATTTGCATATGAAAAGAGTTGAATTTTCATTATAGCTAAAATGAAGTGCTAAGAAACCTAGAGTGATTGAAATAAATTGCAGCCCATCTCAGAAAGATTAGTACTTTCTTAAGTGGAGAATAGATACAGTTCACAAATTTATTCTTTAGGCTTTGGATATTCCTGTAATATTCTTCAACTGGGAAATCTCCAAGTGGCAAGATTAGCCAGAAAACTGATGAAGAAAAGGAACCAAATCTCAGGGTCTTTGTAGCCTAGTTTGAAAGGAATTAATTAACAGTTCAGCAAATGAAGACACCAAACTTTATCCTCCACCCAATATTCACTTTAGAGCTTTGGGGATGGTTTTAACATGTCAAACTTTGAGATTAATGTAGATCTGCGAGGTAATTCTTTCATAAGAAGGTTTAAAGATGTCTATGCTATTGGGGAATCTTTTAAGAATAAAGAGGTAAGTAAATCAGTTTTTTACACGAGAGGGTGAAGATTCCCTTGCAATGATTGGGTGCTTGCAGACTTTGCTAACTTCTCTGTCAGTCTGGAAACTGGACATTTGATTTTTGCATCATCCCTTTGCTATACATGAGGGAAGCACAGATAGCCTAAAGTCTTAGTGATTTCCAAGTGCCAGTGCTATACCAATTATGTTTTAATGTAATCTTTCTAATAATTAACTGTTTTACCAAACATTACTACTTCAATCCTGAATTCAGGTCCATCCTGTACCCTATATTCTGTTAAAATTTTTATCATCCACCATCGTATTGGTAACAAGTTAAATAAAAAAAAAACAAGAAAGTGCAAAAGACTTCCATGTTTCAGATAGAAAAAAAAAAAAAGCAATTTTGATATTTTCTTACTCCGCAGTTCCTTGATGTAGAAATGAAATGGCAGATGCGACACTGTTTGGTGAGATTACACAAAAGAAATTTTGAGCTGTCCTTCTCAGCATCATTTTATTTACACCACCATGCCACAAGAGCCATCTGCTGTATACTATACTGTTAGAAGCATCAGACATATTACAGCTAAATTATGAGACAATAGTAGGAAGAAGATGGGATTAATTTATTCAAGACTTGGAAAACATAGTCCAGAATTTTGTGGTTCCCATGAATACCAATTAGAATACTTTCTGTACCTATGGTATTCCTGCGTCACTATTTCAACATCCTTTTGGATGTGCCTAAGATTGCCTAAAGCACATCTTAAATTGGGACATAGGAGCTTAAGTATTTAGATGTGTTTACTTGGTAGTCCCAAATCACAATGGGAATCTTTGCCTTGATATACATTCTATCTCTAAACTTTACTAAAAAGGCATATTTAAAGTTTTGTTTTGAGAAGATATCAGCTAAGGAAATCTTATGTTAGCACATAAATTTAACTTACTATGTCTTTCACACTGAAGAGTGTGTTGATGCAGTAATTCAAAGAAAGAACAACAACAGAACCTTCCTTTCTTTTGCATTCATCAGGAAGGAACACTGCAAATTCTTTTTTGGCTGTACAGGACAGGCAAAATTCTACTGTAAATGTTATAAAAATAGGTAAACTTAGAAATCAGCCAGCAATATTCAGAAAGTACACCACCCCACACCACCACCTTTCTTTGTATCATAGGAAGCAAAGAGCCTGGAAATATTTTGCTTCACATTGTTTAACTGCTTCAGCACGTTTTTAAATACTAACAATAAATATAGTGTCTTTGACAAAATGCAGCATTTTCTTCTTGGAAGCAGTGAGATGGTATGAACATTTTTCCTGGTTGTCGTTACACTTAACTGCTCCAGATGACCTGAGAACGTGTTAAATGTGTTCAACTGATCTGAAAAACTTTCAGTATGTCCAAAGTAATTTGCCATCATTAAGGTAGCAGAAACATTGAAATGATATAACTGGCACCAGCCACATAGCAAATAGAATTAAAATTAGATCTAGGAATCCTGATCCAAAGCCAGATTTTCTGAAACACTCCTTCATTTAACCCTCCTGCCCCTGAAGTCATTGCAAAAATTGCTACTAAGGACAGCTGAAACAGACATAGCCTTTTAAAAAAGTCTGTATAATATTTACAGTCCTTTCCCTCAAGGATGCTAAACAGCTCTGCTATTGACACTACTATTTGTCACAGCAATATTATACCATTTTACCAGGTGCCATAATTGGGCATGATCCAGTTGCTCGGTGCAGCTCTGCCATACCAGTTTTGGAAACCCCACATTCTCTGTGTACTTCGAAAACTGTAGCTGGGACCTAAGCCCGTTTGGCCCAAAGAAGCAAATCTTTGCTTGTATTTGCAAATTAGCAGCTGGGTCCTGGTCTGTGTCCAAGTGGCATGTGATGCACTGAGACACATTCCAGCAAATCATTGCTTCTCCCTGTTATATTTTCTCTCCACCTTTCACTCACTATAGATAGACATTAAGCATGGCTACTTGAATGCATAGAATCATAGAATAGTTAGGGTTGGAAAGGACCTTAAGATCAAGTTCCAACCCCCCTGCCATGGGCAGGGACACCTCGCTTTAAACCATATTACCCAAGGCCTAGGCCAACCTGGTCTTGAACACTGCCAGGGATGGAGCATTCACAACCTCCCTGGGCAACCTATTCTAGTGCCTCGCCACCATAACAGGAAAGAATTTCCTCCTTATATCCAATCCAAACTTCCCCTGTTAAAGTTTTAACCCATTACCCCTTGTCCTACCGCTACAGTCCCTAATGAAAAGTCCATCCCCAGCATCCCTATAGGCCCCCTTCAGATACTGGAAGGCTGCTATGAGGTCTCCATGCAGCCTTCTCTTCTCCAGGCTGAACAGCCCCAACTTTCCTAGCCTATCTTCATATGGGAGGTGCTCCAGTCCCCTGATCATTCTCGTGGCCCTTCTCTGGACTTGTTCCAACAGTTCCATGTCCTTTTTATGTTGAGGACACCAGAACTGTACACAATACTCCAAGTGAGGTCTCACAAGAGCAGAATAAAGGGGCAGGATCACCTCCTTTGACCTGCTGGTCACGATCTATGCAGCCCAGGATACGGTTGGCTTTCTGGGCTGCAAGTGCACACTGCTGGCTCATGTTCATTTTCTCATCAACCAGCACCCCCAAGTCCTTCTCTGCAGGGCTGCTCTGAATCTCTTCTCTGCCCAGCCTGTAGCTGTGATTGGGATTGCTCCGACCCAGGTGTAGGACCTTGCACTTGGCATGGTTAAACTTCATGAGGTTGGCATCAGCCCACCTCACAAGCGTGTCAAGGTCCCTCTGGATGGCATTCCTTCCCTCCAGCGTATCAACCGAACCACACAGCTTGGTGTCATCGGCAAACTTGCTGAGGGCGCACTCAATCCCACTGTCCATGTCAGCGACAAAGATGTTAAACAAGACCGGTCCCAACACTGATCCCTGAGGGACACCACTCGTTACTGGTCTCCAGCCGGACATTGAGCCATTGACCACAACTCTTTGTGTGCGGCCATCCAGCCAGTTCTTTATCCACCGAGTGGTCCATTCATCAAATTGATGTCTCTCCAATTTAGAGACAAGAATGTCGTGTGGGACAGTGTCGAACGCTTTACACAAGTCCAGGTAGATGACATCAACTGCTCTACCGCTGTCCATCAGTTCTGTAGCCCCATCATAGAAGGCCACCAAATTGGTCAGGCAGGATTTCCCCTTGGTGAAGCCATGCTGGCTGTCACCAAGCACCTTGTTGTTTTTCATGTGCCTTAGCATGCCTTCCAGGAGAATCTGCTCCAAGATTTTGCCAGGCACAGAGGTGAGACTGACTGGTCTGTAATTCCCCGGGTCATCCATTTTCCCCTTCTTGAAAATGGGGGTTATATTTCCCTTTTTCCAGTCGTCGGGAACTTCACCTGACTGCCATGATTTTTCAAATATGATGGCCAGCGGCTTAGCAACTTCATTCACCAGCTCCTTCAGGACCCGCGGATGGATTTCATCAGGACCCATGGACTTGTGCACGTTCAGATTTTTAAGATGGTCTCAAACCAATTCCTCTCCTACAGTGGGCCCAAGGTCTTCATTCTCACAGTCCCTGCGTCTGCCTTCCAAGACTTGGGTGGTGCGGTCAGAGCCTTTGCTAGAGAAGACCGAGGCAAAGAAGTCATTCAGAACCTCAGCCTTCTCCAAATCCTGTGTAGCTAGTTCACCTGAGAGCTTCCTGAGGGGGCCTACATTCTCCCTAATCTGTTTTTTATTTGCTATGTACCTGTAGAATCCCTTCCTGTTATCCTTAATATCCCTAGCCAAGTTTAATTCTAACTGGGCCTTAGCTTTCCTAACCTGGTCCCTAGCTTCCCGGACAACATCCCTGTACTCTTCCCAGGCCGCCTGTCCTTGCTTCCACTTTCTATAAAACTCTTTTTTCATTTGAATTTTCCTCAGCAGCTCCTTATCCATCCAAGGAGGTCTCCTGGCCCTCCTACTGCACTTCCTTCTAATTGGGGTGCAACACTCCTGAGCTTGTAGCAGGTTATCCTTGAAGACCAACCAAGAGTCTTGAGCCCCCCTGCCCTCTAGGGCTATATCCCATGGAACCTTACTAAGCAGGTTCCTGAAGAGGCCAAAGCCTGCTCTTTTAAAGTCTAGGCCAGTGAGCTTGCTGCACGTTCTTCTCACTGTCCTAAGGATAATAGTAATTCATTAGCTTTTTAAGTGGAGTATGCACATAGTGAACTTCTCTGTGAATTATAAAAATGTAATTAGGCAGCTAAATTTGAATTTAAGACTTGAAACCACTTTCATGCTTGCTTACAATCTGCAGAAATGTGTTTTCCAAGTGCTGGTGCTCTATCAGATATGTTTTAATGTAATCTTGCTAATAATTTGCTGTGTTTTACCCCAAACTGGTACTTTTGAATTTCTTAAAAATGCAAGCAGGGGGATTTAGATCCATCCTGTACCTATATGAGTCAAACCACTGATTCATAAGGGATTATTGTGGGGGAAAATACAAGCAAAAAGTCTAATATAAACACTAATATATACTTACAGAAATATGATTAATCCTGTAAGACTAAGAAGGCATTACTAATTATTTTTCAGTAGTGTTACTAATATTAACCTGTAGGTAAGGGAAATTTCCACCCCTTACCTCCTCCTGAATCTCAAAATTACTGCCAGCAAAAACATGGTCAAGTAATTTTTTATTCAGGGCAGTGCAGATTTGCACTGAACGCAAAATAGTTGATAGAGACATCTGTTGAACAAGGTAGTTTAATGGATTCAAGTGCCTGTGGTCATGGCTGATATGAGTAAAAGGGGGAGTGATCTGATTCATTATCCTGTCCTTTTCAAACTCTAAATGGACATTTCCACACAATTTCTCAACTATTTATAAGACACTATTTCCTTCAAATTTGGAATAAAAGCAAATTTTGAAACCTTGGAAGTTGTCATTTAACAGAGTTGTCAAGTTCTGTTCACTCCGGTGACAAAGAGTGAAATCTCCCCTGCAGGAGTGAATGATTCACACTTGTTTCCTAATCCACAGAAGAACATAGCAGGTACCTTCACAGATCCAGTAATTGCCTAATTCAGACATTTCTGAGACTCCTGAAGCAAAGTGCTGGACATCAGGATGCACACGATGACATTTTGGCAGTAATAGTGTGTACTTTCCTTTTCCCAAGTACCTAAGGAGGGTTGTAACAAGCAGTGCAATCACAGACTAAACTTTGTTTTTTGCAAATCATGACTGGCTATGGAGCAGTAGCAAAGTGGTCAGTTTTGTAATGGAAGATGCAGACAAAAGTATCTGAACCGATTTATACTTCCTTCAATTCATTTTGATTAGCAGCTCGCTTCCAAATAATTCTGTCTGAACCTCAATATAATTACTTATACTGTTGTCTCTGATATAAATAAGTTGAGAAACTGTGCCCTGCATAGTATCAGTTCCCTGAAGCTCTGGCCATGACTTTCTAGGAACTAGGAAACATTGCAAAGGTTCATAGTGCTGAGCATACATTCTGCTATGGAACTGCTTTTCAGGGATTCTGACTGATGTGTGGAGGCTAAAAAGACAACACCTTAACTTGGATTTTTTTTAATTATTTTTTTTTTATTCTAGTTCTGTTTCTTGGCATAATTTTCTAGGAGCCGTCATAGTTCCCTCATTCCTAAATCTCATTCCATCATTTCTGTTACTTTTGTACCATTTTCCCTCATCTTTGAGAGGAATGTTAATCTTACTGTAAACTTTAGGTCTTCTTATAGACTCCTCTTACCAGCACAGTATATGAGGTAGTAGTAAGATTTCTCCATGTCAAAAAGCCCTATTTGCATTAATTCTCTTGTGCAAACACCCTCTGTCTCAGCTTTAACATTACCCTTTTACATAATTGAAAATGATTCTTCATGTACCAACATGGGATGCTTGTTCTCTTTTAAATGGTTTTATCTACTGATATTCTTAACATAAATAAATGATTAGTTAACTTTTTTTTCTTTTTTTTTTTTTTTTGGCCAGGGACAAGTAGCATTCATTTCCTTTACATTTTACGTAATAACCTGCTGTTAGCATCAGTAAGGTGCAGTGTAAACTGCTGCAAATCCTGCTTCAAACAGCGCATACACTGTCTCTGAAATAAAGAGTTTTTGTTGATGAAATGCATTCCAATACAGAAGAGGAAATTTAATTATGGAATTCCAAATACGAGCTGTAGTATTTCAGTCAGTATGATTAGCAAGAGAATTAATATTGCTCAGCAGAATTACCAGACTCTGACCACTGGTAGAAAGCAATTGAAAGCTTACCATTTTATTTTAAAGTTTTGTTGTTCATTTCTTCCCTCTTTTTCCTCTTTTTCTTCTAGTCAGACACAGAGTTTTGGGATAAGATGCAAGCAGAATGGGAAGAAATGGCTCGCAGAAACTGGATTTCAGAGAATCAGGAAGCACCAGGGCAAGTCACCATCTCAACCATTGAGAAGGTAACACAGAGGTTTTTAATCTTTCCTGTGAAACTTTGAAATGAGTCTCAGCTATTCAAGGCAACCCAAGAAAACTCTTTGGACACAGAACCTAATTTTGCCCAAAAGAGATCATTCTCCTTGACTGTCTGGGAGTGGGGTAAATTAAAAAACCTTATCACAGTGAAAACACATTAAGACTTGCACACTGCCAGAATTCAGCTAGAAGGATCACAAAGAAAACTACTAGATTATGGGCACTTTTGAAGATGGGCATTTAAGGAAAAGCACTAAATAAAAAAAATCTCAGTTGGCACATTCAAGCACTGTTGAGTATAGAAATGATGAGATTCTGTCTCTCTTCTTCATTCCCTCCATCATATGTTTTAGTTTAGAATCATAGAATGGGTTGGGTTGGAAAGGACATTCAGATCATCTAGTTCCAGCCCTCCCGCCATGAGCAGGATCACTTCACAGTAAACCGTGTCTCCCAGGGCTCTGTCCAACCTGGCCATGAACACTGGGTTGAACAGGGTTGGTAACTTGACCAGTAATTTTATTTTTGCTGTGTAGCTGATATTAGCATACACCACTTACACTGCAGCAGCAAGGCAAAATCTAAAGAAATACTAAAATAAACTCAGGTGTTTGCAACACTCTTCTGTACCTTGAAGGTTAACTGAAGATTTCAGAGTATTAACTGAGCAGAATCAGGTTACAAGCACTGCAGGGAGTCCACTGCTTGGTGCGTGCTCTTCATCACCAAACTGGATCAGGCTCATGCTAGGTTCAGTTCTGCTGTTATTGCAGGCAGTGGGAGTTGTTGCCATATTTTTGATGGGCACAGGAGAGCCCAACATGAGTACCAGTAAGTATTACTACAGAGCTGAAGTAAAAATAAAGAGAGCAGAAACATAAATGTCCAGTGATGCTAGGATTTTACACGTTTTGTCAGTGACATTTCAGGGACGGGGTTCATGCTATTTTCATAGAACAAAGCATATTTACATTCAGTTGGGAAATTGTGAGTCATTTAATTTTACAGAGATGCCATTCCTTGCTACTGTGCTTCATCATGGGTCCATTATCTGTCTTCTCCAGGGTTATTATTTCCATACTGAGAATCCCTTCAAAGACTGGCCTGGTGCTTTTGAGGAAGGACTGAAAAAAATGAAAGAAGGTGACCTGCCTGTTACAATCTTATACCTGGAAGCTGCTATTCTACAAGAACCCAATGATGCAGAGGTATTCACCCATGTGCCTTTCATTGATAAAGGAAAAGGGGACTCCCTTTAGCATGCAGTGATGGAGGGATTTCAGGGCCCAAACCTTTGCTGGTCATGACTGACTGAAACAGGCTGAATGCTAACAGTGATTTTGAAATAGTGTATGCCTTGAAAGGTGAGCTCTTCAAAAGATGAGAATCTATTTTTGAAATTATACCATTTCCAAGTTGTCATTTAAAAGCATTCAAAAGATACAATATTTCAAACCTTTCCTTCTTTTCCTGATGTTTTCAAGCTCTTAAACACTGCTATTGAAAAGATGAACATTTTTGATTTAACAAGAATGTTGACAAATCTTTAAAAGTTATATTAATTTCTGAAATATTAATGTTTTCAAAAAAATATATATGTAAAGTCTGTTTTCTGTGAAACATGAAAAATATTTACAGTGTATCTAGGTCTCTTTGAATCTATTGCTACATTAAATTAACCAGCAGTATTTTGAAAAGCAGAGAGAATCCCCAGACATTCTTGAATCCCTTAAATCTATACAACTTCATAATTGTTCTTCCCTGTTTTCCATAAAATTCTAGCAATATGTAAAATGTACAGTAATTCAAATTTAAGAAATCATCATGTGATCACTGACAGAATACCTTTGCACTCATTCACTATAAATATTATCAGTCCCAAAGATATTCAAAACTGCACTGATTTATGTTGTTGGTATGCACACTGTGGAAACATCTGTAACTAGAGCTGGACAGATCTGCTATTTTTATTCACCCTGCTGCTTAAACAGTGATATTAGTTGTAACTCTGCTTGCATTTGGGTGTATATAACAAAATATCACCATGATGATTATTTTTGCAGGCCTGGCAGTTCCTGGGTGTAACACAAGCAGAGAATGAAAATGAGCCGGCAGCCATTGTCGCCCTCCAAAGGTAGATGAAGATAATTGCTAAATAAAGGGTCTGATGAGTATTAGGTAACGCAGACCTACATATATTTAACATCATACCTATCTTGTAATATGAAGTATTTATTTAACCAAGTAAAGCACTGACACAGATATACAAATATTCCCAGTGACTTCAGATGGATGACTAGTGATTAATATTGCTGGTTTATTAAATAGTGCAATATTTAACTTAGTAATTTAAGTAGATGCACAAAAAGGGAAGTTACATGACATGATAAACATGAATTAGGCCTAATGCAAATGAAGTACCCTTTTAATATTCTAGCCATTTGGAATGTTTTGTGTAGTCTGTCCGTTAATGAAGAAGGTTTTTTAATTGGAACGAGCTCACTTCAGCTGCTGAATACTAAACCGACAACATTTTCAGGCTGATAGAGATGCAAAGATCACAGTATGCTTGTAGGTAAAATGTCATTTCCAAAATATCAGCATTGTTATTGTCCTTCCATAGTGGGTTCCCTCTCCATATTCAATTGCATTAGCAAGGCTAACCATCAAGACATTTCACCTAAGGATACTCTAATTTATTAGTATGTAACTTATTATCTTGCCTGGGTAAAAATCCAAGGGGTTGCCTGATTTCAGGCTTACTCATCCCCACCATTCTGAAAGAAGCAAGACTGATGTTCACAAAATAGATGAGATTCTGGTTTTGGTTAATGGTATATAACCATAGAAAGACCACCTGAGTTCATTGTCTCCAGCTTTATAAAAGAAAAACTGGGAATTCAGCATGACTGAAAAGAATCATATATGTATACAGAGAATCACCTCTGTGCCTGGCAAAATCTTGGAGCAGATTCTCCTGGAAGGCATGCTAAGGCACATGAAAAACAACAAGGTGCTTGGTGACAGCCAGCATGGATTCACTAAGGGGAAATCCTGCCTGACCAATTCGGTGGCCTTCTATGATTGGGGCTACAGAACTGATGGACAGCGGTAAAGCAGTTGATGTCATCTACCTGGATTTGTGCAAAGCGCTTAACACTGTCCCACACGACATCCTTGTCTCTAAATTGGAGAGACATCAATTTGATGAATGGACCACTCAGTGGATAAAGAACTGGCTGGATGGCCACACACAAAGAGTTGTGGTCAATGGCTCAATGTCCGGCTGGAGACCAGTAACGAGTGGTGTCCCTCAGGGATCAGTGTTGGGACCGGTCTTAACATCTTTGTCGCTGATATGGACAGTGGAATTGAGTGCGCTCTCAGTAAGTTTGCCGATGACACCAAGCTGTGTGGTTCGGTTGATGCGCTGGAGGGAAGGAATGTCATCCAGAGGGACCTTGACATGCTTGTGAGGTGGGCTGATGCCAACCTCATGAAGTTAAACCATGCCAAGTGCAAGGTCCTACACCTGGGTCGGAGCAATCCCAGGCACAGCTACAGGTTGGGCAGAGAAGAGATTCAGAGCAGCCCTGTGGAGAAGGACTTGGGGGTGCTGGTCGATGAGAAAATGAACATGAGCCAGAGTGTGCACTTGCAGCCCAGAAAGCCAACCGTATCCTGGGCTGCATCAAAAGGAGTGTGACCAGCAGGTCGAAGGAGGTGATCCTGCCCCTTTATTCTGCTCTCGTGAGACCTCACTTGGAGTATTGTGTACAGTTCTGGTGTCCTCAACATAAAAAGGACATGGATCTGTTGGAACAAGTCCAGAGGAGGGCCACGAGCATGATCAGGGGACTGGAGCACCTCCCATATGAAGGCAGCCTAGGAAAGTTGGGGCTGTTCAGCCTGGAGAAGAGAAGGCTGCGTGGAGACCTCATAGCAGCCTTCCAGTATCTGAAGGGGGCCTATAGGGATGCTAGGGAGGGACTCTTCATTAGGGACTGTAGCGGTAGGACAAGGGGTAATGGGTTAAAACTTAAACAGGGGAAGTTTAGATTGGATATAAGGAGAAAATTCTTTACTGTTAGGGTGGTGAGGCACTGGAATGGGTTGTCCAGGGAGGTTGTGAATGCTCCGTCCCTGGCAGTGTTCAGGGCCAAGTTGGACGAGGCCTTGGGTAATATGGTTTAAAGCGAGGTGTCCCTGCCCATGGCAGGGGGGTTGGAACTCGATGATCTTAAGGTCCTTTCCAACCGAACTATTCTATGATTCTATGGTTCTATAGAAGAAATTTTGTCTTCAAAATACTTGTTTTATATAGCTGCAAACTATTTTAAACCACTCACTTGAATTTACGTAAAGCTTCTCTATTTACTAGACAGGTATTATAAAAATGAATCTACCTACATTTCCTCATAACGGGAAGGATGGAAACAAAACTTGTATGCATACGTTAATATACTTAAGTGTGTATGCACAGCAATGTGCATGCATACATATGTTTATATACCTACACATAATGCACTTACCACAGAAAAATATGACAAAATCCCTTCTTTAAATATATTATTGTGTAGATCTTACTTGTCTGAGTGATTTTTTTTTTTATTAATTTTTTTTTACACAGGTTATTTTGAAAGAAATCAAGAACTGTGTTTGGCTAAAAGAAATACCTCAATGTATTTTTATTTTCTGCCTTTTAGGTGCTTGGAACTACAGCCGAACAACCTAAAAGCTCTGATGGCCCTGGCTGTAAGTTATACTAACACTGGCCATCAACAAGAAGCCTATCAAGCTCTAAGAAACTGGATAAAGCAAAATCCAAAATACAAGTATATAGCTAAAAGCAAAAAAGGGTCCCCAGCAGTTACCAGGAGAATGTCTAAGACATCAGATGAAAGGTAAATGCAGTGTAAATCTCAATAGTGGAAATTTTAACAACGTTACTAGAAATTATGGTGGATGCTGTTTCTCCTTACTCTGCAGACATCCAGCCTCTGCCCTACGATGGAAGGCTCAGTATCTCTACTAGCAGGAGCAGGGAACCAAGATAAGACTTTAGGTTTAGCAACTGAAGGATATATCTTACACCACTGGTAGAAGTTAAAAAACAAACAAACCAAACAAACAACAAAAACAACCACCAAAACATTAATAAAGAAGCTAAAAACTCAATTCACATCACTTTCTCCTGACCTTGTCTGCTACCTCTGTATTCCCAAATCCTGCATCTTCATTCTTCAGCTCTTTCCAAATCCATACCAGGCCTGTATCCTGCTCTACATGTGTGTGTCCTCCCTACTGTTAAACATATTTCCTATACCCCTATCATGCCACTAGAATCCAGGAATGACACCCATTTTTCAGTGGGATGTGGCTTCATTTCACTGAAAATATTGAGAGCAGCATCTGCCTGTTTAAAAGCTATTCTGGATCTAACCAAAGAGATAGTGTAGTCATTTTATTTGATTTCAGCCTAGCACACTGTAATGGGAGCTGGCAGCCATTTTAAATAACAAACAAAATCATGAGTTGGCAGCCCTTCATCATGATTTCATGGATTGATAAATAAGTACTGCTGAATTGCGAGATGCATGATACAATCATTACAGGTATAAACATAATTTATAGAAGTAAACCACCAGGGCTATCTCACTGCTTGTCATTTTGAAGACAGGCCCTTATCGCTAACAAGCCCTGGGCTGACAACATAATTTAGTAGAAGCAAAAATAAAACATAAAGTTCTGCTTAACTGATGTGTGCTATTCTAGTTCGGCCTCATCCCACTGACATCTGGTGGTGTCAATGCAAAGGTTTTGTGAATCCTACAGTGGGTATGGAGGACTTACTTAAATTTTGGCATCTTTCTTCTGGGGTCTTGTCTGGTCACTTGGTCTGTTCCTCTTTATAATGACTACTATTTTTGCCAGTAAAGAAGTCTATTACGTCTGAGAAATTCATCTAATTTTAACACTTTAATAAGCCTTCATGTTATCTCACTTGGGTTCACAGCTGCACTATAACATCATTATATAGGTGAACTTCTTTATTCCTGCACCTGGAAGTTAACCTGTGCTTTGATGAAGCTTATTTTCAAGTTTTATCTCTTCTGATAAATCCCACTATAAGGATTTATAAATTTATTTGGCTATGCAATCAACGCTGCAATATGTAAAGAACTGTAAAATTGAATATTGTTATTTTTCCCCCTTATCTAGCTCACTACTTGAAGAAGTAAAGGATTTGTATCTGGAGGCCGCTCATCAGAATGGCGATATGATAGACCCTGACTTGCAGACAGGACTTGGAGTTCTTTTCCACCTGAATGGAGAATTTAACAGAGCAATAGATGCATTTAGTGCTGCTTTAACTGTTCGACCAGAGGTACATTTTATGCTTTTACATTCGTAAGAAGTCAGCTTTTACAGGCCATTTTCTTTCTCCACTTTTGATCCAGGTAATATTAATGAGATGTCACTTCAGCCATTAAAATTTTAATATCTGAAATAGAAATGTTAATTACAAGACAGTCCCATTTAGAAGCAATTTATATATGCCCAATTTCTAGCTGTGTTCTGATTGATTGTATTAGTTATATAAAGTTGCCTGTAATCAGGAGTCAGAACCTCACATTCTGTGTCAATTACTAGGAAATACGATACTGTTATTTTCTGCAGTCCTCCTCACCTTAGAAGCAAAAAAAAGAGCTATTATGTGCCTTTTTGACACCTACAATAGAAAAATCATTTTCTCATCAGGACTATACATTATGGAATCGTCTTGGAGCAACCTTGGCAAATGGGGATCGAAGCGAAGAAGCTGTTGAAGCCTACACACGTGCTTTAGAAATTCAACCTGGCTTCATTAGGTCCAGATACAATTTAGGGATAAGCTGCATCAATCTAGGGGCATACAGGTAAGTTACAAAAACGTGCAAACAAAAAAGTGAGGAATCTTAACTACAATGTGAAAATTCATTTTCTAGCTGGAGCTATCTAATTAAAAAAGAAATATCAGATTATAGCTCCGTAATCTCAGCTATTGTAAAAATTTGTAATTATTTTTTAAAAAGTACTAACAAATCAATAATACTTTTCTTATAGCCACAAACTCTGCATAACAGAACTACTTAATATCTATTAAAAGAAAATAAATCCCTCATTTAGCAAGCTGCTTAAATATTTTGTTTAGCTCTAAATCCAGGTACTCTTCTTATAAACAATGGGATTGTTCCCACACTTAAATGTAGTCCTGTTCTTAAGAGCTTTTCCAAAAGAAAATGCAAGAGCCTGTCTAAAGGAAACTTCAGTTAAACTGCTTCAGGTAGTTAATCCCATCAAAAATACTTTCACTACATTATTCAGAAATCAAGGGTGATTCCAGGGTGCTTACTCCAACTGTCAGCATAAACTGGATGACATGATGAAGGGGAGCTACATAGCAATGAAGACAATATCTCTAGATGTATGAATAGAGTGAGCTCTGTATTACTAGCCACCACATCCATTTGTTTAAAGAAACTCAAGAAAACGTAGCACAGAGACTGATGAACTACATTGTAAAATAATGTACTTGAGTCCAGCATAGAACTTTCTAAGTTTTTACTCTAGCTGTTAAGCAAATTACATTGCTTCTTTCTTTTGTCTTCTTCCCTACAGAGAGGCTGTCAGCAATTTTCTCACTGCTCTCTGTTTGCAAAGAAAGAGCAGAAATCAGCAACAGGTTCCCCATCCTGCTCTATCAGGCAATATTTGGGCAGCACTTCGAATTGCTCTATCTATGATGGACCAACCAGAACTATTTCAAGCTGCCAATGTGGGTGATCTAGACATTCTGTTAAGAGCTTTTAATCTAGAGCCATAATAAAAAGTATCCACACATCGATTATATTGTATTAGGAAACAGAGAACTCTTTTATATCTCATCTCAACAAGACCACATTTTTCAAAAAAATCATGGCTGTGGATCAGTAAGGAAGTTCCCTTGGACATCATTACTTAAAAAGGAAAAGTTCAAAAGCACAAAATATTGTACATAAATTCAAACTCAAAGGATTGAAATGAGCTGTGGCTAATCTGACAAAGCCCTGAACTGTATGAAGTAGCCATTTCTAAAGGATCTTCATCCCGTGCAAGCTCTATCTCTCGATACATATATAGCTATACAAAGAAACATATATTAAAAACGAAGCTACATAGTCATTATTGCACAGTGGAATGGAAGGAATGCATCCAAGGAACCTGCTTACTAGCTCATTGCACGATGCTGACATCACTTTGCCCTACAACGTGGATTCGCTATCCCTTGGCTTCTTTGTTGAAGTCCTCTCAAGGTCCATTTTTAACATAGCTCTGAGAACAGATGCATGTAAAATGGATATATTTATTAGCTGGCAATCAAGAAAAGTTTTGCTTCCAAATGTAACTTTGATTAATTTGGGCCCAATCCTGCAGGCTCAGAGTTGTAAACCATGTGCAACATTAAGAGAAACATTATATGTGGAGGTCTATGGGATTAGGCCATGTACATATGGGAAGGCCAGGTGTTGCCAGCAGAAGCAGTAATTTGCACTAGAATTGTTGCTGTTCAAACCAGCTATTCCTGATCTTGCACAGAGCACATCTGCTTCAAAGGGGCTCATAGCAGGATCTGCAACTATGTACTTATGCACTTTAATTTTTCTTTTTGTAAGATAGTGCTATGCTTTTAGTTACTAAGAACAGAATGTACAGGATAGCCTTGTTGGCATAGAGGACCAAATATCATTTCCTGAAATGTGATGAGAAGGTTTTCAATATTCTTGTGTTTAAAAAATGCAAATACAGTATAAACTGAGATATCCATTAGCAAGATCATTCTGTTATCATCAGGTACTGCACACATACATGCATGTGCATGCACATACATGTTGTACATGAACGATGACATTTCAGAACAATTAAGCCACAGATCTTTATTGCAAATAAAGAAGAATCTTCATAGGACTGCAGACCATGCTCAAGGGAAAATTTTCCCTGACAAAGTTGGTCTGTATGCTTGTAGGACTGAGACTAAGATTTGATCCTGCTATTATAGCAAGTAGCAGAAAAAGTCTCAGTGATCTCCATGATATCAGACTAAATCCTTCAATAACATCAGTATTCGTAGCTGCCTAAAAACGTGTGTGTGTGTATATATGTATCTATACACACACACACATATATACATCTCATCTTAATTTTCCCTGACTGGATGAATGGGGACCAGTATTGGGGCATTACATGATGAAGTGATTAATTCAGCTACAATCAAACACATTTAGCTGAAGGTGAATGTGTCAAACAAAGACAGGAATAGAAATTTTTAAGGTAATAATTTTCAGTTGCTGATATTTTTCCTATACAGTGAAAGATAAAAAGCCTAATCAGATGGCTACTATGTTGCTCTGTGGTCAGAAATTCAATGTGCTGAGTAGCTACTGAAATGTGTTAAAGTGGGACAAATAACACATTTCCTACAAACAGCATTAAAAGAAAAATCCAGCCCAAAGATCACAGAGAAAGAATTTCTGTGGGAATTGGACAGTTTCAGCAGTACAAACCTAATGTTTCTTGCAGCTGTTATTTTGAGCAACCACTTAAAGGAAAATGCCAGGTAAGACAGTGTAATCACTGCATCTAATCACCAACTGTAGCTTGTTAAATAAAAATAATCAATTTTCATTAAAAAATAAAAGGCTTACCTCACACTCTCCCCCACAGAATAGATGCTGAAACTGCTACTGGAAATTTTTAGTAGTGCTTTATTAATTCATTCCTTACACATGTATTCCTATTTAGCTATCAAGCGTTTCATAGCTGATTCCTGCAACTTTCTTTATAGATTTGTTATGAAGAACTGACTGGGAGTGTTATTCTAGCTAAATGGACTGCTGTATGCATATCTTCTGATAACAGTTTGCTCCTTTGCTTTGATAGTGATGTGTGATAGGGCAGAGCAGAAGGTGCAGTGCAACTGAATCTGGAAAGTGATAAGAAAGAAGGGAGGCATCTTTGAGAAGAGGCAGTAAGGCAAAAGCAGTATGCTTACATTTTGCTTGATGCCCTGCCATCACAAAAATTCTTCCAGAATATCCTCTGTGATGCGGTGTAGAATAATCAGTACTTATCCAAAGGAATTGGCTGCTCAAGAGCTTTATTTTTATACCTTTCAAATAAAATAAAACCAACTTAACTGCTTGACTTCTCAGTCAGGATGACAAAGGGCATTTCATACTTATACCAGTTCACTAAACGTCTTCTCTATGATGTAGGTGAGTAACACAGCAATTCTTTTAGGAAAACCTAATGCAAATCCTAATGTCCCCAGAAAGGAACAGAGAGTAGGCAATTTTTTATATATCCTGGAATGCACTGCTCAAAACTGTATTCATCTGCTAATACATGTCCACACCCACGTGACTGGTGTGAGAAAAGTTGTCTATGTAAACCTAGAGACAAATCAAAGGGTTGAACTCTGCCTCCCATGGGGATAACTCAGGCCCACAGTTCATCACAAGCACTGCAATCCTGCTGTACTGGACACAGGCTACAAAGCCTATCCAAAGAGATTGTGCACATTATTGGAGGTTAGTATACTTGCTCCAATTAACCAGGTACCACTGACCAAGACACTGCATGAGGGAAAGACTAAAGCAGATAGAGGACAGTGGCACATCTCCTTACACTTGACACCAGTTCTGGTGTGGTCTGTGTTGGGGAGTGGCCAGTGACTGAGCTCACCTCACCCTAACAGCTCAGGCTCAGCAGCTCTTGGTACTTCTGGAGTTTTCTTCAATATCCTGAGCTTTATTGTCCTCCTTTAGCCTCCACTGCCAAGCACTGTCAGTGCAGAAGACATGATTAGATACAGCTTTGATCTGACTTCCTCACAGGGTTTCTCAAATATTCAGCGGCAAGCATGTATATTTGGCTGAAACAACAATAGAAAACGTGAGGAGGTTGCAGCATTTTAATCTGAAGAGGAAATTCATCTACTCAAACTTCTAATCAAGCATGAGACAAGATAAGCAAGGCAGCTGCTGAATAGTAGCAGATTGAGCCTGGGAGTGACATGGTGAATCTGGGTCCTGTTCTCAGTCCTCCCTGTGAGCTAAACCAAGTCAAAACCTCCTGCCATCTCTGACTTGCTCAGGTGTGCAAGGAAGGAAGATGGGCAATTAACAGCCACTGCCTGTGATGGCACTACCAAAGAGCAGTGGAGTGCCGCTGTCCCACAGACCACATGGGTCAAGTTACCACTCATGTAAATTGAAAGGCAGCATACAAACACAAGGTTGCTCAGATCTACATAAGAAAACAAACTTTAAGTTTACGTGAGAGACTAGCAATTTGAGCAAAGAAGAGACTCTGAGACATTTCAAGATAACTGTGCAGCATCTATGGGATGATGACAAATTAATGTTACAATGGTTTATCATCATCTCTCACCCCTGTTTCCCTTTCCTGTTACTCCCCTCTTTCTCTAGAGGTGATTTATCACTGCCAGGTAATTGATTACAAGTGTTTTTGAGTCTCCTATTTTATATTTCACACAGTTACGTATTGTTTTCCCAACCCCAGCTTGTGAATGGCTCTCTCCTCTGCAAAGCTTTAAGAGTATTTATGACCTGTAAGTCTGATCCATCACGCTGCTGAACAGTGAGTCTGTAGTCTTCACAGGAGTCCTTCGCACTTGGCATGATCAGTTCATGTGCCCATATTCAGTGACCGGACAAGGGCTGGCCTCTGATACCACTGCACATGCTAAACAGGTACTGAAACCAAAGTGATCATTTATGGAGTGCGGCTTTCCAGTTAAAGCAATAGACTCGTTTCTTGCCTATCTTCTAAACTACAATGTCTATTGCTGAATTACAGTGGTTTATGTCAGTTTCAAGAACCAATCTGATCTTCAGGTAAACACACACATATCTGTATCTAATTGTATTTTCTTGTGATGAAACACAGCACTTGTAAAAATATTGAGGGAGAGGTTCCAATGACAAAACCTCATAGGAGAATATTGCATGCAATTACATAATAACCACACTGAAATATTAACACAAAGCATGCAATAATAATACTTGAATATATGTTTACAGAATGCATGCAGAAGGCCAACTCATAGGGTATGTTTATACTATTGATTGATATCTTCTATGGGATATTTTAAAAGTACTTTGCATCTGCCATACTCAAAACTGAGTTGTTCATGTTACTTGGAACAGATTAGACCAAATGCAGAGCCCTTTTTAAATCCCATCCTTAGAAATCACTTTGTGTTGTGCATTTCATGTTTGCTTCAAGTGTTTATTTAATGACAGACATGTAGTAACAGCTTTGGCAGACACGTTTTAGTATCCTCTTAAGAATTAAAAAGTTAAATATGTGCAGCTTTCACTGTGAAGCAGGTGTTCAGACTTTCACATTTTCTTCTCCAAACCACAGAAAAAGATTCCCAGAATCAGTGAAACAACTATTGTCTCAGTCCACACTTACTTACCATGGCCAGGCTTGTCAAAGTTGCCCACTAGCTCTGAAGGCAGGTCAGTGTCCAACTGTTCTGTTTGAAATATATACTTGAAATAAAACTTCAGAGGATCTGAATATCTGCTGCAGCCACTGAATTCAGCTGAAAGCTCAGGACATGAAATTACACATGAAGAGTTAATGAGTCGATTTAGAGAACTTGGACCTGTCTGTCAGGTGAAAAGGAGGACCCTCACAACACCATCAGATCAGCCAGGTGATTCTAGGAGCATCCTTAGAGCACAGGCCTCCATAACACAAAAGCCACCATGACAGAAATAATAACCAGTGAAATTACTGGCGGCCACAAAGGCAAAGCCTGAAGCCTAAAATCACTGCCTGTTGGAGCCAGTGAGAACTGAAGTGAAACATGAATTGGTTTTACCTCTCCTTTGCCCAAATATGCATCTGCAAAATGAGATGTATTAGTTACTTCTCATGAATAACCTGCACAGTTGAAAAACGCATTTCTGGTCACCAGTATTGTCATCCTAGCAGTCTGTACAGTGCATTTATGTAATAAATGCTTATAAAATACCGAGTATTCACAGATAAGTGATAGACAAAATGCACTGCATGTTGTGAAAAATAAAAAGTGGTATGCAATACAGTACTACCTAGTAGTCAAACCTTATCT